TTTGTTTCTTCAGTCGTTTAATTCAAATTCAAAACCCTATAAGGTATATTGAACATTTGTTATTTTGATTCACATATACAGGGTTGGCCATATTCGACGGAAAGATGTTTTTTTTTCAATTATGGGAAACTCGATCTAACATCTCTGTCAAAAGTTACAGTGTTTGCCAGATCTTTCCGTCGAATATGGCCAACCCTGTACTGTATTTAAGCCTATACTTCCTCTCTCCCTCCCCCCCTCTCTCTCTCTCTCTCTCTCTCTCTCTCTCTCTCTCTCTCTCTCTCGCATTAATGCTATCACGTTTTTTGATAAATTAACTAAAAAATAATATAAATAATTTTTATAAAACTTTTTCTTACGCTATTTTGAAGAAAATAGTTTATTTCTAACGAATAATATAATTTAATTTCAGTGGCACGCACATAATAATCTCATATTAGTTGCTTGCTGGAATTCAACAAATGGACTTATAGTTTCTGGTGGCGAAGACTGTAAATATAAGGTGAGTAAATATTTTTATAAAATTAATACTAGGTTCAATTAAATTTACACTAAATTGGAACAAAAAGACAAGCATATGAGCTGAAACCAGGTGTTCGTGTTATCATTGAAATAAAACCTTATCATGGCTGTGTGCGTGCGTGCGTGTATGTGTACTCTCTCTCTCTCTCTCTCTCTTTCTCTCCTCTCTCCCTCTCCCTCTCCCTCTCCCTCTCCCTCTCCCTCCCCCTCCTCCCTCCCCTCTCTCCCTTCCTCCCTCCCCCCTCTCTCTATCTCTCTGTGTGTGCGTATGCGTGTGTGTTTGTGTGTGTATATATATGATAGACTTTTGCAGATAATTGGCTGCAATGAAAGATTTGTGTACTTAAGGAAATATTTTTACCTTTTTAAGTTATTTTATGATTAAAAAATGAATACGTTTTTAATATAGATATGGGACGCCACTGGTCATCAACTATATTGCAGTAATGTCGGTGATCACCCTATAACAGCTATTAGCTGGTGTCATTCTTCTGGCGAATATTTTGCTGTTGGATCTTTCAATACAATCAAGCTTTGTGATAAAAATGGCGTAAGATTAATTTTATAGTATACATGCACGCATATATAACTGTTAAGTAATTTTAGAATTTATATTTGCATTTCTTTTTTGCCCTTTTTTGCCTTAAGAGAACATATACATTTTCGGCTGCAAAAAGTATCTATTTCATGATTTTTTTCTAGAAAAGATATATAAGCTACAAGGATCGAATTTTTTGTAAATGAAAATACGTGTATTTTTTATTACTTATATTAATTTTTCATTTTATGTCTTTTTTATTTTATGACCTTCAAAGTTTTAGCAGTCGTTGTATAAAATGTACAGTCGTTGTATAAATGAAATTTATTAAATGTGCAATAGGGTATTCATCTCCGATGATCTTAACATATAACTGTTGACATATAAGATTATGACTCTGAGTGACATTTGCAAGATTTTAGCCGTCATTCATTGTCCATTAAAATGTTATTAACAAGTAAAAAGTTAAAATTGCCATCTATCTGTAAAAGTTCGAAACGTGATTCTCGATCCGATTAGTCGACGACGATGTTAATAATAATGACGGTGATAATGATGACGGTTCTTATAGTAAAATTTTAAAGGTTTGAACTTTGCGTTGCAATATTTTTGTTTGTAGAACACGTAGAAAAAAATAAAAGCATTTTTGTAATACAATTCAAGTGGAAGTTATATTGAGCATAGAATTTGATTGGTTCAGCCTTTATTGAGATCTGATAATCGCATTTCTGAAAAACTTGACGGTTCCCGTAATACACGGTTGATCTCGTATCACCATAAAATTTCTCAGAATTGATAAACATGAAAATCATAAGAAACATAGAGATGTAAATTGTATACATCTCAATACATCTCAATAAGATCTCATATAAATCAGTTATACGGCTGCACTTATGTGAAATATGAATACGTAAACAAAAATTAGCTTAACAATTATATAAAGCGATGCTCGAAATTTATAACTCTATGATATGCATTAAATATTTTTTCGCTGAAGAGGATCACATTAAAGGTCAAAGCGTTTAAAAGTATATATTGTTTGACATTATTGTTTATTAGCGAACAATAGGGTAGCGCAGGGCTATTCCGTTTTAACTTTAAAGTAATAACGAAAATTAATGATAGCAAATAATATCTCTTTGCAATGACATACTTATAATTATACAATCATGATTACTCCTTGAGAACACAAGCACAACCTTTAAACAATTAACATGTTCTCTTCAGTAATATAAACATTATCGCGAAAAATGAACGGAAAAGTCTCGCTTTATCCTATCTAACTTGGCTCGAATAGTCCAATATCATAATGTATTTGCATTAATTATTTATTGTATTTGTTAATTATTAAAAATTATAATTTTTTACATATAGAAGCCATTAAGCTATTAAAGAAAATATATTTTTAAAATTTATAATTAAAATGTAGATATACTTTAGAAAAATTAATTAAAGTGTAGTTATCTGTAAGAGAAAAATAAAATAAAAAATGTATGATGATATATTGATTCAATAAAAATTCATAGAAATAGATGATTTTAATGAATGATATCACAACCGCAATTTATGAATTCATTTATCATGTTTCAGTGGTTACATTCTATGGAAAAAGTAAATACTGGAAGCATTTATAGCATAGCTTGGTCCAGCGATAGTACACAAGTGGCTATGGCATGCAGTAACGGAAAACTTTTGACTGGACATGTTATAGATAGGTAAGTTTTATGTAATTAACTGTTTAATAAGATCACGCTAATAATGAAGTATAAATAGAAAAATCACGAAAGAAGGGATTAAAATAAGAGCCATTTATGTGAAACCGCTCTACGAGCATGGCTGAATTCCGGAAATGAAAAAAAAGATACTGCAACCGTTTTGCAACGTAATATACGGGCCCATACGAGAAGACATTTGAACCTAGTCTGGAAGTTATTAGAGAAAGAGCCGCGCGACATGATACCGGAATTCGATGGTACCTCGCGTTCGAGAATTTTTAAATACATAAGCAACTATATGAAAAACCGACCCCATGTTAATCCGGCCGACGAACAATCTAAAAGCTATCGTATGTACCAAACTTAAAGGAAAGGCAATGCGGGATTTTCACACCTACGATGTTCAATGTTTGTGAACAATTACAAGTCGAAGAGAGCGAGTATCTCAACAAACGTAGCATTACGCATCTACAAATAGAATTCAATTCATTTAAACAGAAAAAAGCTCACGAAGAAAGCTCACAAAATTTCGGACGCCAAGTAGATATGCTAGCCATGGAATTACACGAATCAGTAATCATTATAGGCCGTTATTTCCTATTTCCTATTGGTTGTGTTTTCACGTGTACGTTTCAGTAGAGTATTTGTTGATTATATTTTAAGCACTAATATATTGGATCGGAGAAAGTTTCTTGGTATTTAAAAAAATTTTTTTGCAAAAGTTTTTCATTTGTTACGAAATTTTCGTTACAATTATATCATTCGCTAGAGTAAAGTTTCAGCTTTAAGAATCTGTTTTTTAAATTATGGTATGATGATTTTTATCGAAGTTATAAATAATTAAAGTCAGAATGCTTCTTTATTTAACTCGTGAATAACTCAGAAACAGTGAGAGACCTCCAAAGTGAAAAGAAAATTTTTCATCTTTTTCAGCTCGTAATTTTTTAAATGTAAAATTATCAAACTCACAGAAACTCAAAAAATATAGTAACCTTTCGAAAGTAGAGATTTCAAGCTTTAAAATCCTTTTTTTTTTAATTTAAATTTCCTTTATTTTTGACGAAGATATTGATTTGTATATACAATTTTGAATTAAAAAATACGAGAAACTTTTTCCCCGACCCAATATTATTATCCATTAAAATAAAAAATGTATATTTATACAAGTTTTTGATATAATTATAGAAAATTAGAATGGGATAATTATGAAGCAACATTGATAAGAAGGAAAATAATCGAGATCAGAGAAGTCGGCAACGAATTTCGTGAAGTATTAGAAATCTCTGATCGTGTTGTACATCTCGAATTTGGCTTCGATCATTTAGTCGTTATCACACCTGCTCAATGCCATGTGTACGCTGTTACAAATTGGAATACACCAGCGATATTTAATTTAAAGACAAATATCATCTCTGCTGTACTTCTTGCAGAAAAGTAAGTTATTAAATGTGTATTCAAAATAATATAATAAAATAAAAAGATAATATGCATATCTTATAAACATTGAGAAAATTTTAACTATTTTTATATATCTATAATTTTTGAAACTAATTAGAGAAACTAATTTATTTTTATACTTGATAAAAATTTCTCACTTATCTCTATTTTTACATAACATTTGAAATAAAACATAAAATGACACTTTTATTTAATAAGAAGACTCCACTAGATGAAAAATGCCTATCGTCCAAACTTTAATGTTAAAAAGATTTGTAAGGGGAAATTTCCTGCGTGCATATGAAAAATATTAGATGTAAATGGCTAGCCATTCAGCAATAATTAAAATAAAAAAAGATTTTAGTTTGTTATGAATCATATCGTCTGATACTATCGCAAACTTTTTGAATAGAATGATATGATTTTTTTTATCTAATTTTTTATGGTTTCTCTAATTATTCTATATATAAAAAATTCTGCGTATAAGACTGAGATGGAGATATCGAAAAATTATTTTCGAATTATTTTATTCTGATATACATATGTTGAAATATAAATATCTTTTAAATTATTTATTTTTTAATTATTGTACCTTAATACTTTTATAGACATAAAATGTTAAGATAAATAAATTGATGTAAAGAAAAAACTATTAATTAACTATTAATTGTTTTAAAAAATGAGACTTCCTGTATATTGACACTAATATAATTTGTAATTATATAGTATAATTCTTTTATAGGCACTTCTTAATAGTGGAATGGAATACCGTATCATTATATAGTTACCAAGGCCGTTTACTGGGTAGTCCAAGATGGAAAGGTTTTTCTTCAGAACCACTTCATCCTATTTGCATATCATTGTGTGCTGATATTTTGGTCATAAGAAATCAAAACAATGAAAAACGTAAGATTAATAATAAAACATGTTAAAAGGCTTTTTCATAATAATAAGTGATATCACGTATACTTTCAACATTAACATTATGTTCGCGCTGTAACCAATATAGTTTATTGTTTAATCTCTTGTATTTGTCGTATTTTATCGAGATGCATATATTGTGTGTGAAAAAATGAATTATAAATGTTGAGTTATAACGTTAAACGATAAAATTCATAATATTTTTAGTCAGCAAGCAAATATTACAATTGAGATGTTTGTATTGATAGAACGCATTGGAAATATCCAAATTGAGGCGATCTCGCTTTCCGTGGAAAATTATAAACTCATGTGGAACTTACACGCAGAGTGAGATTCCTTCCTGCTTAAAGGGCAAAATGAGATCTATGATTGTACACAATAATAGAAATATACTTAAATTGTAGGAATACACACAATAATAGACATACTTAAGCTTTAGAAATATTCTTTACGTTTAATAGTTATAAACTATTTATTATTTAACAGACGGCTGTAATCCTAATTCAATCAGTGAGAATCAAGCGACGCAGTAGCATCTCAACGCCAAGTGCATAAAAATATAACGAGCCGCTTGACTGCTTGATATGTATAAACGTCATTGTGTATATGTTCGTGCCGCGTTACCAAATTCACGACGCTACCACTAGCTTTATCTAGTGTTTCGATATCAAACTTTAGATTAAAATTACTCAGAAACTAAAACCGCAATCAAAAATCTAAAAACACTTTTATTATATAATGTCATCGGTATTTTTCGATTACGATCAGTCCGAATAAAATTGACGCAGCCGACTCCGGGCGACACCAGGACTGTTTCTCTCTTTATCGGGATATTTATCATAATTTAATGTCATCAAAAAGTATAATTTCGTGGATATTTTAAATATTTTTTGTTTTTCTCATATTTATTTTTTAGTGCTTCATATCTTGGAAATACCTCACAATAAGCCAATAATAGAAGGTCAATCGCATTTACATCTGCACAACGTAACGCAAGTGGCCTTAAGTTATCGTGGTGATATAAAAGATCGACAATTGGCATTAATAGATGTCAATAAAGATTTATTTTTAATTGCAATAAGAACTACAGGCTTTGGAAGAATTTGCAAAATAGGTATGTAATATTATATATGCAGATATACAAGGTGTATGATTTAAAAATATCTGCTCTAATCTCGTAAATATTGTTGCGTTACATCGAAAAAATGTTTCAGACAAAAGTTTTGTGACTTCGAGGGAAATATAAAATGGTACCATTGATTTGACCTTAGGTAAAATTGTCAAGATTAGTGCAAGGTCCGTATAACTTACAATTCGAATTTTTTAAACAGAATTCTCTATTTTTTTATTACATATTTTTATCTTATAACTTACCTCAAGAGCTTTTTAAAATGCTATAATAAAATATTTATTTATTAAATATTTTTCGAGTTATAAAATTTGAAAGTAGTGCCGTCAGCATTAGCAATATTCAAGATGTCCAAATGACAACTAAAATCTCTTAAATGTTGTTCAGAATTATTATTACAATCTTAATAACTTTAAGATCAAGGGCATTAGAGATTGTGTTCCTTTTATTTTCATTTTTATGTAAAAACAAAAATTAGAGAAACAACTTCTAATTGCCTTGATGTTAATAAATGTTATCAAAGTCATGACTCTGAGCAACATTCAAGAGATTTTAGCCGTTGACTGAACACTTTGGATAATGCTAATGCCGATGATATTATAACTTTCAAATCGTTGTATAACACGATAAGTACTTAATAAAAAAATATTTTATTATAGTGTTTTGAAAAGCTGTTGAGATAAGCTAAAATATGCAATAAAAAATGGCGAGTCCCATTAAAAAAGTTCAAAGTAACTTTGCCCTGACAATCCTGATGAAAATAAAAATCGGAGTAAGTCGAATGTAATGGGAAAGTAACAGAACCATAAATGAAACTAATTGAAACAATGTAAAAGAAGCGTAAACGTCTCTTTTATGTTTTATTTCAATTTCCACCTCCTAGAAATTTCGTTTATGCTTCTGTTACTCTCTCCTTACATGGACTTATGCTCCGATTTTTATTTTCGCCTAGAAACACCATTTCATGTTCTCAAAATCATAAAACTTTTTTTCTGAATTATTTTTAGATTTACAGTATTTCTGAGATATTTAAGTGGATCCTTTAAAATAGAACATCCTGTATAATTATCATAAACAGGATGTCCCTCCGTATAAATGGCCATACACACTTTTTTGTCTCGTAAATAGAAATAGATTTAATAAATATAATATATTAATATAAGTTAAACGGTTTTAATTAAACTCTATTATAAGCACTGTGACCACTTACAATTAGAAAAATTATCTATATTAGAAAATGGAAAGATAGGTATAATTTTTGCACGATAATAGTAAATACTTTAATATAAGAATTGTCGCGTCCGATTTAATGAATACAACATGCATGACATAATAAAATTATTTTATAAATTATACAAATTTTTTAATTTAAATCTATGCTAGTGACTATCTTTTCAGTTTCGGTTATGCGCGGCGTGGTCAACTTTCAACGTGCACTGATCAAATGACAACATGTTAACACGTCAATGCGATGTTATGTTTATTAAATTTATCTCTGTTAATTTACGAGATGGAAAAGATTGTGGATCACATGTACAAGGTTCTGCAGTCTGTTAAATCTATAATGTCAAATTTAACTTAATTTAAACCGTCACTTCTGCTTAATATAACAGTTATTTTATACTAAATCAGTAGAGTTTAACATTTTTAAACAGTTGAAATTGAGTCAAATTTTATTCAGTGTCAATTTTAACCCAATTTAAACTATTCAGCTTCATTGTGTGTTTTAGTATAAAATAAAATAACGATATATTGAGCAGGAACAGTGGCAACTCAAATGAGATTAAATTTGACACTATTAGATTAGATTTAACAATGTGCAGAATGTTTCAGGATTTTGGGAATAAACTTTAACAGTTAGTAAATCTTACAAAGAATCAACTTTTATTAAAAATGTTGTGTTCTCTGATTTTTAAGAAGCATTGCATCCTTGTTCAGATTGTCTGTGAGGTACGCAATTATCTCGCGAAGTAGCATTGCATCTAAGATTATACTTATTCACATTTTTGCTTTATTTAGTATTTGGTTTTCTTAGCAGAAAATAAAATAAATGTGAATTACATATAGCATTGTTAGACGCGCGATCAAAGGCGTAGTTCTTTAAAAATGTGTAGGTGGACATACAGATTCTTAAATAAAAGTTGGTTTTTTTTTATGAGATAATCTATCACCTTCTAAAATATTTGTCTTAGAAGTCTGAAACAACTTTGTATAATTACTAAAATTATTAATTCATAGACATCTAAATTATATATTCTAGCTGGAATGGCACAAAATATTGCATGGGCAACCGACGCAAATATATTAGCTGCAATGTTGGATGCGACTCTGTCAGTATGGCTATGTCCCAACTGTGTTCATTACAGTGATCGCAAAATAATACGACGTACAAGAATTGATAAGGAAAGCAGGTATTGTTCATGAATATCTTGTTTAATGATGTATTTATAGTGTATAGTATTAAAGAATACCGTTTTTTGCGGAAAACAGTTTAAATTTTATAACAGTACCAAATTTTATTTTTAATTTTACTTTTTGATTTTTTATGGTTAGGGCAATTTTTTTGCTTAAAAGACATTTATGTTCAGAATAATAAAAACTACAATATATCTCAAAACTAAGATAATTGAGCATCCATTGGATGCCCAAAGAACGTGAGTGTCCTTTCCTTGTGGACATAATTAAGACATGAAGTGGACCAAATGGGTGTCCATTCTTTGGATGGGATTCATATCTTATGTGGTTACTTTATTCATTAGTTTTTATTTTTTAACTTTTGAACTTGCTATGCGTATATGCATTCGATTTTTAGATTATAATCTTTTTACACACACACACACATACACACACACACACACACATACACACACACACACACACACACACACATGTATATACTTCTTATAAAGTTCTAATTTTTTTAAAATTTTTTCAGAATTTTTTATCAACTTTTTAGTATTTTCTCATTTAGTACTTTAGCATTTTCTCATTTTTACCAACATGAAAAAATACGGTATTAAAAAATTCTGAAAAAATTCTAAAAAAATTGTCAAATTGTCTTTATGAGAAGAAAATAAATGATTTTTGTCTGTTGCAATTTTTCTGTAAAGTTGATAGTGTTTGAGTAAAAAATTATTCAAGACCAATATTTGGCAATTTTTAGTAATTAATATCTTGTTAACTATTGCGAAAATTGCAAAATGGTGGAGAACTTTTCGACTCAGTTTAGTCCACTCTACCTGTCCATGAAATATTTGGCGATTATTTCCTGACACCTGTACATATATATATAATTTTTAGAACATGTTTAATTAACGTTTTAGTTATACATATATTTAAATACTTAATGTAGAATATTATACTTAATTACCATTTATGTAATTAATCTATTTATATAATTTTTAAGTATCTTAAATAATTTTATTTTAACAGTTTATAAATATTTTTAAACAGCGAATTTGGCAAACAGCCTAACATCGTGAGTGTTCGTAATGGTATGGTTATGGTAAGACGTGGAGACGGTGCTATTGTAGCTTCATCGTTTTACAATCTCTTCACAAGTTTTCACGAACACATATCAAATAATAAATTGAAAGAAGCGCTTTCCCTCTGTCGTATAGCTCAGGTAATATTCAATATAATATATATGCCGCATGAAGGGTGTCCTACTTGAAACTTCGGATCTTCAGACGCAATTATTTTCCGAACTATTTCTTATTCCAACAAATGTTTCACGTAGAACTTACTTTCGAGAGGAATAATTTTTGATGGTCATGTATCTTTTCTAGACATGTTTCTAAGATTCCAAATCTCATAAAATCGTATAAAAATCATTAAGGAAATTATATAAAAAATATTAAGATCATACAAACATCAAAATATCAATAGTTTACGAGATATTTTATACTTTATTTTGCCACATAAAATATTAAATATCTTATAAAATGTTAATTTTTTGGTTAATCATAATTTAACTTTTATAACAAAATAATGAAATGAATAGGTGTAGAATCAATAGATGTAGAAAACATATAGATTATTTAAAAAATTATCCATAATTTGCCCACATATTTTTTTAAAGCAACTATGTACATTCTTTTTTCTCATTTCGTGATATTACTTTATTTAATACTTTTATTATGCAGAATAATTACTAGGAATCACAAGATTATGTAAAAAAAGATAATTCGGTTTCGGTGTTGGAATCAATGATAATATTTATTGAATTCTTTGTTAATAAATTAATTTCATTTTGACATCTTAAGTTTGTTCTCTTTTTTTTTTTACCTATTTCTTACTCTGAATAAAGATATTGTTTTCACAATTTTGAGCTAGAAAATTGTGCTATATAATAGTAATCTTTATTTCTGCATTTTTGTATTGTCACAAATAAATGTACGCTATGAAATACGTTATGAAAAAAAATTTTTGATTAGTATTAGTTTATTCTTTTTAAATTATCTATAAAAAATACGTATATTTATTATTTTGTGAAAATTTTAATAAAACTAAGAGAAAGATAAATTGGAAAATTTTTTATATAGTTTTTCTTTTAATCCATGTTATCTCTTTATATTAATTTTATTACTAATTTTATTACTTGTTTTAGAGAAATTAATGTAACATGTAATCATTTTATATTTTATGTTATCAGAATGAGATATTGTGGACTTGCATGGCTGTTATGACAATTGATAACAGAGAATTGCATGCTGCAGAAGAAGCTTACGCTGCTATTAATAGATTTGATAAAGTAGATTATATTAAATACATTAAGGTAATTATATTACGTGTTTATATTTATTTATTTATTAAGATAATTTCAAATAATTGAAATTATACTATGTTTTCAGAATTTACCCACTGCTACAGAAAAACATGCAGAAATGGCATTACTAGCAGGAGATCTATCGATGGCAGAAGGTATACTGTTACAAAGCAGTCTGATTAAAGAGGCTATACATATCAATATTCAAATTTATAATTGGAATAGGTATGTTAGAAAGTTAAGCGAAACATAATTATAAAACACGCAATCCGATATGCTCTCGCAAGTACGCGCGCATGCATAGTACTTATTAGAGATCATTTTAAATGTGTTTTGAAAATACACATGTATTTTTAGATACATGTAAAAAAGAGATTACTATAGCACACAAATAGTAATATATGATCTTGACAGATTTGGCTATCTGCGGGTATCGAACGAATTGTCAAATATATCTGTCGAAACATTTTCGAAACACTGAAACATTTTTTGAAACACTGTCGAATGTATACATTAAACGTCTTGAAGAAACATGACATCAATCATTATTCGATGTATTTTCATAATGAAGTCGGTCGACGAACAGTTTAACTGTATGTTGAAAAACTAAATGTGGAAATAGTTTAAAAGAAAATGTCGCGTAAAGAAAATGTCGAATCATTAACGGTGAGGGCGATTGACAAATCGTTTAATATCCGCATATTTTTCAATAAATGTTGCATGAGCTAAGATTATATGATTGCCTCCGCCATGATCGATAAGTAAACCTATGTAAAACATAACAGATTTCAATAACTGATTGAACAGTAATAAAATTGAACAGTAAACTGATGCGATTAAATTATACGAATAATCTGCACAGCTTATAAATGCTGTTAAATGTATTCATCATATAATGACCTATAAATAATGTATTAAGCATTCTAAGTCATATAAGGTAGTTAACTTACTCCGCAAACACAATAAATAGAATAGTAAGCCTTAAGAAATTAATCAATCACAGTCAATTATTCTTCTCACATTCGTCTGTCATTGATCAATTTCTTAAGACTTAAGGTTTATTACTCTATTGTGTTTGCTTTGCGTTAATACTTATTAGATGCTAAGTATTGTTACTCATAGTATATTTTTCTATTTTTTACGTTTATTAAAAGAAACTAATTTATATCTCTTGATGTCTTTAATTAGAGCCTTGGAATTAGCAAGAAAATATAAAAGACAGTTTGAGGAAGTTCTTGATACAAGAAAAAAATATTTGGAGACCATTAATAAGAATGAAACCAATCATAATTTCCTTACATTTACGGTAAATTTCTTTCATCACAATTAAATTAAATATTTTCAACAAATATATTATATAACTTTTTTATTATAAAAAAACTTTTGTTTCAGGAAAATAATGAAATGAGAATTAATATCAAGTGATATCGAATAATAAATCAATATTGAATGAAACGGATTATGAAATGTAATCTGGAAGAAAATAGTAACAATACATTTTTGTGTGTTTTATTGTAGAGAAAAATAAAAGAAAGAAAAGAGATTGAGAAGAGAAGAAAGATATTCTATCGTGCAAGTAATAAGATAAAATAAAGTAAGCATTCAAGACAGTTCAAGATATAAGAAAATAACGATCGAATAGATAAAATATGAAAGAAATGTGTGTGTTTTATATAATATTAAATTTACGTTTTGTTTAATATTCATTTACGTTTTGTTATATATTCATGAAGAATTTGATTTATATTTGTAATGTATTTGGAATGTATTTACATGATGTTCTCATATAAATTTTGTTTCTAATTTTATTATTTTGTAATGTAGAAATATGTAGATATATTTATTAAATAGAAGTTCTTGTATAATCTTATAGAAGAATTATAAGATTTGTTTGTCTAGTGTAAGTATTCTCTACTAATTAAAAAAACATTTTATTCTAAAAAACATTACCTATTTCGTATATATTGAACCATCCACTGTGACATTTTTGTCCTGTGGATTTTTATGGATAAATCAAGTAGATTCTACATCCTCGTAGTTCGAGTAGCGAGCGTATTTGCGTAGATTCAACAGTCGAATGAGCGCCCTTATATTCTTATTGGTGTATTCTTTTAAGTCATTCAATTAGATTTTAGATCTAGAAGAATACATCAATAGCAGCAAGCGCTGACTTGACTATTGTCTGCTGAACGCAGCCAATAGATGATGGGTTCTAATCCATTGTGGTTAGTGCGTACGTATATGTATATGTTTGTATGGTGGGTGGTGGATGTGTGAGGGATCAAAGGAGGGAGAAGTGCATCAAAAGTTGTTATGTCACAGTATGTACTGTGGCTATGTTCCAAATTTACTGCCAGCAGCCAGTGATGAAAATATAGTTACGTTACGTGTATTATAGATTTTCACTCGGATTTTCAGTACAGACAGTCAATTTTGGATGGAACATAGCCTAAGAAGACGAAGCGTGATGACGCATCGAGAAGGCTTGAAGAGTGCTCGAGCCAAGTTATTATCACTATTATATAGTTAATCAATTGATCCACTATAAAACGATGGAGAACATTCGTTCACCGATGGATAATCTCTTCAATATGCTGTCAGGCTTCAGCGCAGGCCAAGAGAAAGCCCTGAAACAAGGAATCTATAACGCTGTTGCACTTTTCTTCCTGTGCCTCGTCTCGGTAGCCGGTTACGGTCTCTACATTATACTGAGACCTTTTGTTAAACCTTTAATCTGGGCATTGCTGTGCGGTTCTGTTCTCTTCCCATTTAAGTGTTTGCTGGTTACAGCGGTGCAATCTTGGTTCACCAAAGTGGAGGTATCACGCACCTTACTAATCGTCAATGTCAGCTTATTACCGGTACACATATTTGACAATGTCTCCGAAAGAGTGGGTTCATTTTTATGGATGCGCATCAAGTATATCGTTTGGACAGTATTACTGGCATTGGTGGCTGTAGGCTTATATCATTTCACTCCTAATGTGATAATGTGTCTCGCCTGGAGAATGTTCCAGACATTTAGCATTATTTCTGGATTCTTCATTCTGGCATGCAACATCTTTACGGTAGTTTATTTTACCAATTTATTATTATTATTATTATTATTATTATTATATATAAGGGAATGGAAGGAACTAATTATTGTAACTGCCATTATTTACTTTGTAATAATGATTTAGTAATGATATTGCAAATTTTTTATAATGATAATGTACCAGAGTTGGGATAGTCAATAGTTATTTATTGTGACTGATTGGAAAGTCATTTATTACTGAAAAAAAAAATAGTTTGCAATTTGTAATTTGTTATTTTTTAATGTAACTTGTAATGGTGACAATTTATTTTTCAAAGTGATGACTTTCCTAATCTTAACGTAATTTCAGTATTTAGTTAGTCATCACTATGGTCATCAACATTGTTATTAAATTATTATAAAAAATAACTGTAAAAGTAGCAGAAAAGTAACTTTTCCGTTCCCTGATATATTTGATATACACATGTATAGAAACACTAGATTTGCTTCTCTAAAAATTTAATTGACTTGTCTTACAGGTTTCTACCGTACTCGTCGGTTACTTCATGATTCTGTATATCTATTGGACACCGTCAAATTCGGCTCATTTTCGTTACATGTCCTTCATGATGTGGTTCATCATCAGCATGTATTTATCGAGTATAGCGGGTTCTTACCAGGTTTTGATCTTTGCTGCTCTACAAATTCTATGCATAATAGGATTTATTTACGAAGTGATACTCGTTATGGATAGTCATGAGTTGAATGGTAAACATTTGACATTCTCGCAAGCAGCCCGTTTTGCTTTAACAAACGAATTATTGCCGAGCCAGCAAGAAGATAAATCAACTTCACTCGAGGACGAGCATACAAAGAACTGTATTCCGGAAGGCGAAAGCGTGGATACGCCGATTTGCTCTCAAGAAGCAGGAAGATCGACATCTCCTGATGCAACGGGTATCGAAAGAATACGTAGCACGTCGAGACGTGGAGTAAAATCATTATCTTTGGATACGGATGCTGGTTTATCCGTAATGGGTGTGACAACACGTAGACCTGCGTATAACATACATTATATAACTCGTGCGACATTACGCGACCGTTATCTGCTGGGCAAAATAAGAGCCGAATTACGAACGTCTCTAGATATGCAAGATGATGAAGTTGATACTGACAAATACATGTATGGGGCACTATATGCATGTGCTGGGATGCTTCTCTGGAAACACAGATGGATCGCACACATTCTGGTGATCCCATTGGTATATTATATTGTCAAGCAATTGGGTAGCTATTTCGGTTTTTGGAAAATGATACTCGAGCATTGCAACTCAATGATAGAAATGCTCAAGTCGTGGTGCATGGATCGACATCAAGCACTCATACCCTCCAATATCAGAGGTCTCTATAAAATAAGTGTTATCGTGGATGAGAAACTAAGAAATATTCTGAAAAACTCCGTCAATGCGGTAGCGACTACATCTGTAATACTTGGCTTGATTGTTTTCGTTACTTGCGCATCTATCTTTATTATGATACAGGTTTGCGACAAACTTTCTTTTATACACTATTATACAATTGTATAATCATGGATAGAACGGTTGCAGCACTTTTTTATCAATGAGTTTTAGAATTCAGTCTTGCTCATAGAGCATTGAACATAAATGACTATCTATAAATGAGAACCAATCACTCGATGAACAGGTCTCATTCTAAAATCCATTGAAAAAAAAATTACATCATATTGTCCGTTACTGTACAACAGCCCAATAGATGAGAAATGGATTAAAATGGATTGAAATGGATTCAGATTTTTAGAAATATTCATTCGCGAACATTAATAAATGAATCCTTTTCAATCCGAATGTATTTTTATTCATTTATACGAATTGGATGAAGTACATTTCTATGCCTTTCAATCTAAAAATGATATCAGCTTGTCTGTGTCTTGTGAATACTTCTCAATTCAAAATTCTGAATAGAAAAGTTTTTCAATCCAACTGAATCCAATTGAATTCAATTTAATCCAATTGAATAAAAAAGTTTTATTTACAATATTTTGGATAAATAAAATTTCCATCCATTTTAATCCATTCTCGTTTACTTAAACGATTCACAAAAGATTGACTAATTTCTCTAGATCTATGCAGAAGGCTTGCATCTTGTTCAAGTAACAGGTGAAATATTAAATTCTACTTTGATGAGCAATTCTGATATCGATTGGGTTCCAGAAAAGTGGGAAGAGTCCGTTAACAGTGTTTTAGATAACGTTTACACATATGGACGAAGTGCTATATCGGATGGCGTAAGATTTACTTTATTTACTTTTCCACTTTGCATGTGTGCGAACGCTAAGTTTGCTTATCTAACTTGCTTAATTCAGATTCGGGGTCTCGTAAAAGATCTCGAACCGACGAAAGCGGAACAAATGGAGAAGAAAGTCTTAGAGCTGTGGGATCGTCTCTATCAAGCATGGATGATGTCAAATATGGATCCGAATCTCGTGGGTCCTACCGTAGATGCTATGTCTGCGTATTCCGCTTGGGAAAACTTCAAAGATAGCTTTGGAAAAACACCTATACGTAAATACTTTGTCTAAAGAAATTTACGAAATTTCGCATTATTAAATTACATTTTTTACTTATTTCCAGATAAATATCTCCTTTTCATTATATTGCTTCTATTAATATAATAAAAATCGCTTTGCATATAATACATAGAACGCTATCGCTTTTTTCTTTCAGATTTGTTCAATATGACTAGTATACAGAATTTTGTCAAAGAAAATATTGGCATTCTTACATCAGTGTTTGATTCTGTTTGGAGCATTGTTAAAGGCAATATATCTGTAATACTAACAATTTTTACGGAGTTATTTTATATTGTACTCATGAGTGGATCAGCCGTACTTAATTTTGTACTCAGCACGGTATGTAACATATTCCTGCAAAATTTTATAGAAAAGAAAAGGCATGAGATGTAATAATTTGTTATTTCAGGTTGTATTCTTTACAACTTTATTTTATTTGCTCAGTTCCAGCGATAAAACTTATAAACCCATCGAACTGACAACAATGTTTAGTCCTATTAGTTGTCACAGGTAATTATTCATAATCTGAAAATTGATTTATGATTTCTCTTTGTAGTGTAATATTTTAAATTTTATAAAAATGTTTATTTAACTAGCCCTGGAGTGCTATTTTGTACACGTCTACTGAAAACTGTTCAAAACATTGATAACTATCGGTAGACATGTACAAAATAACACCTCTGAGCAAAATACATTTTGTATTTGTAAAATACAAAATACTGTTAATCTTAGTAACTATCCTAAACATCAATGATGCAATCTTTATTACTTAGAGTAGTTATTATTACTAAGATTGTGATTATTACAGTATTTTGTATTTTGTATTCTAAAATAAATACAAAATATATGTATTTTGCTCAGCCCTGTTTTTATCAAGCACATTACATGTAGAAAGATACGTTCTACGTATCGATACGACCTTCATATAATGTGATTGTGTTAATACTCTATTGGGACGTTACTATCATGAAATGTATGATACTGCACGAAGAAAACTTTCAAAATAACATCGATTCTGTCTAGATTTGCTATGTCATTACAAGAAGCAGTGATTGGGGTATTCGCAGCCACTTTTAAACTTGCGTCTTTCTTCGGCATGTGGACATGGTTCATACATAATTTGTTTCAAGTGAAGATTGTCTATTTACCATCGGCCCTTGCAACTATGTTAGGGGCCGTTCCTTTCTTGGATGCATACTTTGCCTGCATTCCGGCTACTATAGAACTTTGGTTCACTCGTGGATCAATGATCGCTATCTCATTTTTCCTCTTCCATTTCCTCCCGTGTAACATAGTAGTGACGGAATTTTATAAAGAGATTAAAGGGTAAAATTGTGCTTTGTAGTACATGAATATATCTTCAACTATGCATTGTTTTTACATACGTTCCGTTTATTTCAGTGGTGGGCATCCTTATCTAACTGGTTTATCGATAGCGGGTGGAATCTTTTGTTTAGGTGTAGAAGGAGCAATTTTTGGCCCTTTGCTCTTGTGTTGTATCATGGTTGTCATCAATTTAAGTCGACGTTACCTACACTCACCTGAAGAGGAGGAGGAGGAGGTCGTACTACCGGCATATTCTAACCATGAAAGAACATCACAATATAAGTCAAAATAACATTACGATTTTAACAAAAATTAATATTTCTGCTTAACAGCATCGCGAGTTACGGGCTTGCTTCCAACTTTTAAAGATTGAAATCCGTATTCATATCGTATTTTTATATCATAAATGCACATTTATTTCTGATAGTCTACAATATATGTAACATAAACTATCCGTACTGGAAAAAAATCACGTCACAAAATTACATAATGAAATCATGTAATTAAAATATGTAAATCACGTAATGGATTGTTCTAAATCATACGTGATTTTTTAAAATCATGTGAATTTGAAAAGTCACATGATGATGTTTTTTTTCTTCTATTCCTATCATTTAATTATTAAAAATTAAATTAATTTCGATAATTATAAAATCATATATATATGATGATATATATATATATATATATATATATATATATATATATGATATATATGATACATGAAATTATTTCTAATATCATGTGATTTTTTTAAATGTCATTTTAAAAAATCACGTAATGATTTGGAATAATTCGTTGTTGATTTACTTATTTTAATTACATGATATCGTCATGTAACTTTGTGATGTGACTTTTTTCAATAGAGATATGCTAGATGTGCATGTTTGTCGATAAAAGTGAGATGTGAATACGGATCTAAGAGTTTGATATAAATATTTCATGAAAGTGAGCACTGTATGATGACTAGACTAACATACAGCGCAAACATAGAAAATTGTGCTTTATATAATATATATTTTTATGTGATAAGAAAACTAATCCAGGAGTCTCAGCTTACGCTTATTAGGATTACAGATTTTATATTACACGAATAATTAAAATAAGTTATTTACATTATGATATTTTCTATTAAGAACAATTTGATGATACAAAGTATAATTAAATACAGAAGTTTATTTATTGAAATAAAAAGTTAATATGTATTATCATAAAACTGTGCGTACAATTGTTATAGTAATTCTCAATCAGATGCCTCTCATGTATAATGCATGATACAAGATAACTTTATGCACAACTAATTTAAATTTGTTCTTTTAACAAAATAGTTACTATAAAAATTATCATATCCATTGTAAATGTCTGATATATGTGTGAGTTTTATATTGCTCTGCAATAATTCAACCGTCGCTGCTTCATATGCATGAAAAATGATTTTCTTCCTTTTTGCAAACATATGAAAACCATTTTCTGAAAAACGACCTCGTATATTACCTATTTCTAACCATACGAAAAGTGCTATTTTATCTGTCGATAATACAATTTTAAAATCTGCATAATTGGAAAGTTTCCCAGGTAAATAATTTTCTTCGATCTTCATCTAAAATAAAAACAATTGTGTGTCAATATTTTTCAGACAGTATTTATTGTACAAGTCTGTAATATATCGAATTTTGTACATGACACCAATTAATCCACTTACAGTAACGTTGGCTACTGGTACATCTACGTTTTTTAACGCATCAGGATATATATAATTAATTGGCGCAATTAGGGATCCAGATTTATCCGTAAAAGATAAAGTGGCGATGCAAGATCTTTTGGCGGATTTCAATGTTCCACAACCCACTTGAAACAGGAATCTGTCTAACCAAAAGGATGTAATTTTCGTGGCTTTATTAGATTCCTGAAAGAAAATCAGTTTAGCTGTATGGATATTTATATACAAATTATAGATATCAACTCTAATACTCTATGTAACTATATACGCGCGCGCGCGCGCGCGCACACACACACACACACGCATATATACTAACTATTATGATATCATTGAAGAATAATACGGATATAGATTTCATGGATTCCCATTTGTAAACATGAAGTTTTACTGTACAATTTGTTAAAGTATACAATCGATCAGACACTATATATATCGAGAGTTCATTGGAAACGGACAAATACGATGTAACAATAATAGGCGCGAAAAAATCCTTGGCATAATAGTGAAGCATTTTCCAACGACCTTCATTATCTGTAAATATAATGCGGAGAAGATTTTTGTAATATGCAAAAAATAGAAGGATATCTTAAATTAGAACGATCAATATAATACTTTTATATTAAATAGAAAGAAGAAAATATTATAGAAGCAAGATTCGTATTCTTCATATATCTCACATTTTAAGAGCTTTAAAAAAATTCTTATACCTACAGATTTTAACAATCAAGGCTTTTAGTTCTAATTCCAAGTCTTTGATTACCTATGGAAGACCATGAAGGAGCTTGCCAAACATCGTTCAATTGCCAATAAAGAGCTCCCATTGTCATACCCTCACCTATGGAATTCACTTCAGATTTGGCTTGCCTGTACATTTCCGTTTGTATTTTTATAGAGACAGCTTGATTGATCTGACTAAGATATATATAACTTGCGAAATCTCGGATGCTGTCGTTACTTTGCGGTACAGCAAAGTTGTTCAAGATTAGGTGCAGCATATATTGATTGCCGAGTGGCTGATGTTGTCTGTGCTTTACGAAGTCGCTGTTAATATGAAGATCTTTTGTGCTTTCTATAGCAGTTGCTATCGTGTAAATCGATGGCCAAGATTGAAATCCATATTCGGAGCAAAATCTTGTCCGAGGATACTGAGTGATGTCCCAACTATTTCTAATGTAATTATAATAGTGGACTGAAAACACATTCTTCAACTTAATGTTAATATATTCAATAAATATATTCAATTAATCTCATTTTCAAGAAAACCTTATCTGTGTGTACACACACACACACACACACACACACACATATATATATATATATATTACCGTCACCGTAGAGATTTAAATAAGGATTTGCTCCAGTATAATTGTATGTTTTTTCATACGCCCCGTTGCCCGGACTAGATACGACAAATGGTCTTGTCAGATCTAGTTTCTTCACTTCTGTCTTCAATAGATTCACATAAAGTTTCACATAATCCTCTCTATACACATGAGCAGAACCAGTACCATACCAATTACCATAAAGCGCCGCTTCGTTTTCGTTATTGCCAGCCCAAAGAACAATACTTGGATGATTTTTCAAACGTATTACGTTTTGTAATATTTCTTCTTTTACGTTCTTTAAGAATGAATGACTCGTAGGATACATAGCGCACGCAAACATGAAATCTTGCCAAATCATGATCCCATATTCATCAGCCAAGTCGTAAAATAATTTCGACTCATAAATACCACCACCCCATACTCTTAGCATATTCATATGCGTCTCTTTGGCAGATAACAACAAGTCTCTGACGGTATCTTCTTTTGCGCCTAGCTCAGGAAAGATACTGGCTGGGATAAAGTTGCTGCCTTTAGCGAATATCGGTATATCGTTTATGCGAAAATAGAAGCTCAGTCCTTTTTTCAATGATTTTTCCACGAGCTGCACCGTTCTGAAGCCTATACGAATCCGTTTGAATAATACGTCATTCGCCGTTGTCACAGTAGTAGTTAAATAGTACAAGTGTTGCTTGCCATAACCATTCGGCCACCAGTTCTCAACGGCATCCTGGCCAGTAAAACATTAGACCATTAGAATAAATAAAATTACAATTTTATTTTTGTATGCACTTGCAGATATTAAAATAAAAATTAAAAAAAAAAAGCAAAAATATGAAAAAGAAATGAAATCAAAATATATTTCAAGTTATTAAAATAAGAACATAGTTCTTCGAACGGTGTCTTGAGGACGTCTTTATTATAGACACGGTTTTGAACGTATATTTGAGGTACGTGTTACGTGTACATGTATAATTTATAGATCCATGTTTCAAGCCGTGTAATTTTTAATACACAGGTACACGTGTATCGAAATACACGGTTTGAATGTATATCCGTGAATTTCAATATATGATTACACGTGTAACATATTCATATTTTATTTCATGTGATTATTAATGTATGACAAGATAATCACATAATTAAGTATATTTTCGGTGTAAAAATGCTTATATTAATAAGATATTTATTGAATTGTTTGTATCGAGTTATAAACAAAAAGAAACGGGCGTGTCAAGTATGCTGCTGCTGGAGATTTTTCGAATTTTTGTCTTACAATTATCTATTTGTTATCGATGTAAAAATTTCTTTTTCAATTTCTGCGGCTCTCATTATGCTATCTATTGCATTTCGCGTTGTCTTTTTAATATGTTGTTCTACTTTATACATTTCAAATGTCTCCCATATTTTATGTTAAGTCTAATACGATTATGAGAGATTATCCCATACAACACAGTTCTCAAAAGACATCTACACCATAAGGACGTCCTCAAGAAGTTCTGCTTGAAGAACTGTTCTGTAGAACTTATTTTAATAAATATATTTAAAATATATTATTTTGATTTGACTACTTTTTCATTATTTTTGGTTTTTCCATTATGTTTTAAACATCTTTGTTTTGATATATTTGCGTAAAAACATTGCATTTTAGTTTCGCTTTTTTTTATATATTAATATTTGTTATTCCTTTCATTATGTTTTAGAATATAATTACAAAATGGTTTTGCCTAAAGATATTGCAAAATATATTCTTTTTTTAAAATTTTCAATTTCTTTCCGATGAATTTTACAACTTACTGCAGGCACGATGAGCGAAATCTTAACATTTATGTACTTTTCACTTGCGTCAAGTACAACTTCACTGGTATTGCTAACAACTTTGTTTTGTGCAATATGCAATATCGATGCTACGTGACAACTAATTCCTATAAATTCTTCGTCCTTACTTTTTGTTGTCTCAAAAAATATTGTAACAAGGATGTGCCAAGTATTATTTTCTTTGCGTATGTCAGTCGCAATGTCATTAATCAATATATCATTTACGGGAATCAATTCAACATCTCTCCTGTAAATATCTTGTGTTATATACTAATAAAAATGTAGTTAGTAAAAAAATATAATAAAATATGTAAAATAAATATTGTAAAATAATCGAGCTGGTAATAATTGCTTGTTACCAAATGCCAATCGAGGGAAAAGCAGGACCCCAATCCCATGAGAAACTGGCTTGCATCTTACGAATGTGATTTACATGGCATTCTCCATTGTATTCCTTAGGTACACATATTGGTGGTATAACGTAATGATTCTTTTGCTCATTGTATAAATCTTCGGCTACTTTAACAGCCGAACGAAACGTGACTTTCAATACATTCTGTTCTTTCTGCATAGACCAAATAAACAAATTGTATTACCAATATGCATATTTTATATGACTTTTTCAATTTCTTTGATTACCTTGATAAAATCTGTTACGTCAAAAATATATCTTAAAAACATATTTGAGGTCTCTCCGAGGATGTGATTGTTCAAAGAAACATTGGCAAACGTATCGATTCCGTGAAAAACTAACACTATTTTACGAGCTTTTAGAAAATTATCACTCACTGAAAATATAACATGTTTAGATTACTTTTAATTTTAAACTATTACCTAATATTGTGTCTCATATATACACTTACGTAATAATATATATTATTATATAGATTGTATATATACACTCATAGCCAATTACCTCTAAAATTTTTTATGTAAGTGACAGATTGATTTCCGACCCAACGATTATTGATATCATTTCTTCCAAGCAAATTGTTCTCTATTATGTTATTCTTATATAAGTCCGTATAAATTCCTCCAGGAACAGACGCACTAAAATTGATATCTGTAGAACAGAATAATTATTGCATCATTTATAAGAAACATTTTTAAGAAAATTTGCCTACTAGATTTAAAGAAAATTATATATAATTTTTAAAAAATTATGTTTTAATCTCTTACCATTGTTGCATTTTTCATAGGGTTTCTTATCTGAAAAAACAATTTTTTATTGCAATCATGATTATTAAATAATTTTGTACATATAAATTGTATTTTGTACATATATATATATATATATATACACAGAGTGTTTCTTGATTATTTAAAATATCTCCGTTTTTGATGATACGAGAAAATACCATATAGGAAAGTAATTCGAAGAGACACATATTATTATTATGATGAGCAAAAAATTTTTCTCAAAATCATACTTTTTATCGATGTAAAAGTTGTAGTATACAGTTGTTTTAAAAAAAATGTATATACAAAATGAATAATTTTTTAAATAAGCAAGTATATATCTTCTTACATCAATCGATTCATCTCATTATTCTGTTTATAAAAGTATTAAGGTGTGGTACGATTATAAAAAAATTAATAATTTAAGAATAGAAAGAAAGAACCTAATTTAGGAAGCCAAAAAAAGATAATTTTTTTATAATTTTTTGAAAAAGAAATAGTAACTTAAAAAAAAAACTGTTCTCATTAGGAGCATTCAACGGATTCAAAAAGACAAAATTGAGTGATGGCTCGCTGTTATTAGTGTATTCTTTTAGATCATCCAATCAGAATTTTAGACCTAGAAGAATATATCAAGCAGTAAGCACTTACTCAACTGTTAAGTCTGCTGAAATTCAGTCATTATCGCTACTTAACGATACCGACAGTTGTCATTAAGTAGCAAATGAAAACCGCGCTTTTATCTTAGGATAGTCCTTGCCATTGACTATCGTTATCGACATCGATAATCGTAGAAGTGTAGAATACACATATGCAGAATACACATATAGAATATGGGTCTTGAAAGAGGCATAACACGATGCCGCAAAATGTTTTCTTTAATTAGTTAATTAATAAACTTTTTTCTTCTGATTAGTCAATCAAATGTTCAAAACGTTTTTAGTGAGACATTGGTTGCTTTCCATTTGCACCGATTCTCAGATAATTCTCATTTGTGACGTCATAACTCAATTAAATGCGCGTTTATTTACATTTTCTAACAAGTGAAATTCAGCTGAATTTTTACCTACAATCTGCACAAGCTCGAGACTATTACTTTACTGAGTCTCATAAACTCATTTTAAAAGTGAGATCATGTGATAACTTTTTACCAAATGGTAATGTTCCAAAATTGACTGTATTGAAAATTTATAGTACACGTAACATAAAAAACTGTAGCATCTTCAGTTCTGGCAGTAAATTTGGAACACAAACCACACGAGAGAGAGAGAGAGAGAGAGAGAGAGAGGTGCGTAGTGACGTTTGCACCACACATACACACACACGCGCGCGCGCGCGCGCGCGCAACACATCTTTATACTATATATTACGTAAATATACAGTATTTTCTATATAAATACGTACTTTTATAGAAAAAAAATAAAGATATCTAATAAATCATATTTACCACAGATATTAATGATCCCTGTCCATGTTCCATTTAGTGTTACAATTTGACAGTGTATACTAATTAAACATGAAATCCACAACGTCAAAATAAAAAACTTCATTTCATCAGATGACATCAGATGATATATTGAAATAAGATAAAACCTGATATTAAAGACTGCAAATATAATGAAAACTTTATGCGTACTCGATTGTTGCTTTTCGCTAAAACGTACCAATTTCCAATAAACATAGAGATAAAAACAACAGTTTATCTAAGCAGTCTTATTATATACTATCTAATCTATAAATGCCTTCCATGATTATCATCTTATACCTGCTTATATTAAAACAAGGTTTATCAATCCATAACCTTGATGTGAAGAAAAAGATGATAATACATATGATAGGGCATAACCTTTAACTTTCAGTAACAAGGATGGACATTCGTGGCACTGAGGCACTCGGATGAAAATTTGGGAATCTGACCCTAGTCAAGTCTGCTACAATCATATCAATTTGAATATCGCAATTTGAGTGGTATATTAAAGCTATTGTGCATGTAACAGTTTTGTCCTGCAAATCCAATAGAGTAATAAGCTTAAGTCCGGATCTACAATAGGTTTTAAGCCTTAAGCCATAAGAAATTGACCAATTACAATCGAATACAAAGAGAATAAGTAATTGTGATTCGTTCATTCCTTATGGCTTAGGACTTACTAATTAGTACTCTATTGTTTGCGGAGTTTTGTAGTCAAATGCGAGGAAAATAATTGACTATCGGTCTGTTCGCGTTGCTTACACTTTTTGCACTTAAGTATCTTCATTCTCTTTTCGACGTCTGAATAAATATCCCGTTTTAAGTATATTCTAGGAGATTTCAAGCAACGCGAACAAACTTTGATTTGTTCAATTAGTCTTTTCTTTCTATGAAATTCGATTCTTTCATGCATTATGTGTTATGAAAAAGGCTATGTCTGACTTTTTTATACAAGTATACTCTGCTCCCGCTTTTACTCCATACTTTGGAATGCTAGGCTATCTCATTTATTAGGGAATCATAAATTTTGATTCATTTAAGATACATTTGTTTGCTATTTGTCATAAATTTTTTGCTTTAAATATTTGTAAGTAATGCTTAAATTTATAATTAAATGAGCTGAGTCTGAAATAAGAAACTTAATTGTGCATATACCACATACTAGTATTTCTTAAGCAGTACAAAATATATTTATACATATATATTTAAACATTCAGAAGTTCTTAAAATAAGATATTCCACAATATTCAAAATCCATAATAATTTTCAATCGGTATTTCCTTTGTTCTTTGATATTCTATTTAGAGAGTTCGCTCATTAACTGTGCCGTTACATCTTTCATTGTGCTGATATTTTTTTTTACTTGATCCATCTACAAAACATTATTATTAAACATAACTAAATAAATGGACACTCAAATATAATTTGAAGTATATACAATTACAATATAATTTAAAGTACAAAACTTACATATTCTTTTGTCTTGTACTTTTTATATAAATCATATAATTCATCCACTGTCCATTCTTTTTCGTCTTGCTTATTTAATTTAACAAATGGACAGCTTGACTGATGTTTCTCATGTTCACTCCTGTAAGTTTTCAATTTATATGTTTTGCTAACAAAAATAATGGGTAAATGCAGAGAATTAAAACACAAAAGAAGGGCAAAAAGAAACAAATAATACATGTAATATAAATAATAAAGTTAATGATTCAATATATCATTAACTTAATATATCATTCTTAAAGTTACTGTTACAGAGTATATGCGATAGCCGACAGCCTTATAGCACTGCCTGTGCACACTTTCCATAATAGTAAACGTAAGAATTAGCCAATTAAAGTCAAAATTTTCAAAAAACTTACAGCTCTGATTGGCTAACTCTTACGAGTTGCACGTGTATTGAATTTAAATCCCTCTATTGCAATGCGACATGTATGTACCTAAAACGCATGCATTTGTCAGCGTAGAACATGAAAATGTGACTGCAGCACGTACTTGGTCCAGAACTCGTGCTGGTAGTTCGCTGGTTTCAGCTTTCTGTACTGCTTACTACCAGCGCAAGTTTTGATTGGCTGCTTCTCTGCTTTTCTGTCAAGGTCTGAATGGTCTAAACTCTAAACCCATCCTTAGTTGGTACAACAGATATCTTAACCTCTAAAGTTTCGAAATTTAACGCTTATTTCGCGAGGCAAATCGCTGAGTTTTTCAGCCAGGTTCTTTTATTTTAATAAAAAAGTGTCGAATAAATACATTTTTATTAAGATTTGAAGTAAGGAGAGTATTCTCTCTCTCTCTCTCTCTCTCTTAAATAAGTACTATAAAATATAATAATTAATAGTAAGTGAAAATAAACTAATAAATGTATGTACGAATTAGTTACTTGACGTACCATGGATCATCGTCCGGTTCCCAACCATCGAGTTGCTTGCTACAAATGAAACATTCAACCAAGTCTGGCTCATTGCTGTCCCCAACAACATAAAATCCAGCGGCGGCCATGCGTTCGGCATTGCATTTGTTGGATTCGTTGAAGGGCCAGCTACCGTACGTTGTCCTTCTACTTTGTTTCCAGAAGTAGGAAGTAGCTTCTCTGAAAACGAAATGGGAAATAAAATAATAACCTAGCTTGCAGAGGTTTCGTTTCAAAAAAACTCGTTTCGAAAACTCAAGAACTTGTACCGTCTGCGAATTTTTAGTGTACAACGTTTAATCATTTCGATATTTTGTCAATTAATACTTACGGTAATTCCACTATCATCTCGTTTTCTAACATCAATTTCTCAATAAACAACGCGATAACGGACAATCCGAATCATGCGTATGGGTTACGTTTATGGTATTTCACGGTTCAACAGACTCGACCAACAGTTGGAGGGCTATCATTGATGTATTATTCTAGATCTAAAACTCTGATTGGATGATTCAAAAGAATATATACCAATAACAGCGAGCGCTTATTCAACCGTTGAGTTTACTGAATGTAGTCAAGTGAACGGATGGTGTGTACAGTTTGCGAGCTTCTCTCTCTAATTATCTGCTCTTTCACTTCTTTTCTGACAATTCTGATCGTTTGAAATGCAAAGCTGTGTTCCAAAATTCACTGCCAACTGTTGAAAATCTACAGTTTACATTACATGTACTATACATTTTTAGCACTGACAATGCACCAATAATTTTGGAACACAATTGTCATGGCCTAGTTTCCACCTAGGGTTTAATCCGGATCAGAATGTAAGAACCAACCAACTACAGTCGAGTATTTCCCTGTTACAGTCAAACGACAGGGGAATGTTCGACTGTAGTTGGTTGGTTTTATATTCTGATCCGGAAAGCTTTCCCATACAAGATAATTTTCTTGTCTCACAATCTTAACATATATTATTCTAACATGTATGTTTATAAATTACGTATTAATATAATAATTTTATTAGTATTATACTTTATAATATTTTAATTATGTTATCCATATGCATGACAAAATGCTGAAATGGATGGATGGAAGGTTCGGTACGCACACGTACATTTTCATGTCATGTAGACATGCGCTAAACGTTGGGCGCGGTAAAACATAAGTAAAGGATTTTCGGTGCCTGTAATCTTGGCGACGAATATTGTGCTAATGATACTTGTTATCGGGCGATCTATCGTAACTTTAAGTTATGAAATGTTATTTACTCTGACATATGTAACATATAGTTTATTCAAAGATACCTTATAATCTTTTTATAGCCCAAAATTACAAACACCTAAAATTATCGCACCAAATTTCAACTGATTGATAAGTTTATGGCGTCTAAATGCTCCTTAAATCACATATGTGCAGTCTTTTTATACCTTGCTAAATATTAGCATGCAATCATTTACTTTTCCGATACAAAATATCATGTGTGACATGCAGCATATTGTCCGCATGATGTAACGAATACGCATCAATATATTTAGATAGTGTCAGATGATGACAATAATTATTTATAACTAATAAAGTATTACAAATTTTCGAGAGAGGGGGAGAGAGAGAGAGAGAGAGAGAGAGAGAGAGAGAGAGAGAACATAATTCAAGAGGAAACAGATATTTCAGAAGGCAACATAAACAATCATACCAAAAGGTAAAAACTTAATATTTTTATTTATTATTTGTTTTTTTGCTGCTTGATCGAAATGTCCTAAACACAGTTTTTACAAGACATTGCTCTAATAAGGGACATATATCTTTGTGAGCCTTGCTCAAAAGATCCATAGAATATTCCATGGTATCCATATTGATGCTGCCTATCACAAACATTTCGGAAATTTGACCATGTTGTGGAAGAGCAGCTTGTACAATAATTCCATGATCATTTGTCGTATCTGATGCAGCTTTTGTGGAACAAAAATTTTCTTCTATATCTGTTGGATCCACTAAATATGTCCCTTTGCATATGCCCTATTGAGAGCAGTATATAATTTGTCATTATACATTGTCGTTACTTGGTTAAAATTCTCAGTTGTTTACTTACAATAGTAGATGCAGTGACTAAACCAAACATTGGTACTCCAGCATTTGCCAAAGCTAAACTAGCTGCCATTATCGCCGCAGCCAACGCAGATCCTCCATTGTCGAGAACTGTTGCATAGACATCAACTTGGAAATTAGGGAACTCTTGCTAAAATTAAAACATATAAAGGCAACAATTGATAAATAAGATTTTTACATATTTTTAAAACTGATTAGTTTCACAGTGTTTCTTTATACATTGTATCAAGAAAATTTCCAATGAAAAAAAAAGATGGAAAGTTATGTACCAGACACACCGCTGGTTCTAAAGCTCTTTGTAGTATCAAGCTGTACTCCTTTTCTTCTGCGTCCTGCTGATGCAATTTCCGTTTGCGATGAGAGAAGGATGCAAATTTGAATTCACAAAATAGTTCCCCTTGCATGCAGAAGCCAGTTTTGTTTGGTATCTCTCTAGGATCGAATACTGAGCAGATGACCTTGGTGTTACCCATCTCAATGTATGCAGAACCTTTTGCCTGACTAACAATGCCTGTTTTCAAAACTATACAAAAAAAGTTATTTCTTAGATATACTTAAAAAATCTAATTCTTAATGGCAACCATGACAAAACACTTGATTATAATTTAACTAACAGAATTTATTAACATTTGCAACTAATTCATTGCTTAACTTAATCGTTGCTTTATGTTCAACAAAAAAAATTAACTTTATGCAGATTGATAAAATACTACAAAATATTTCTTGATAAACAATTGTTAAGTTATTCAGACATCAAAGTCAACTTAATTGTACTGATATGATAATACAATATTATATGTGAACATAACCTCAACACTCTTACATATATTTCTAAGTTCGTTGTCTGAGCGATCGTCATGCCTTTTCGAAACATTACGTTGCATTTCATTGTCTTTCGTTTCAGAGTAAACATAAATTTCGTACGATGTAGACGCATCTGGCCCATTAATACGTTTCTGGTCAACCGGCATTCTTTTCAATCCTTTTTCTTCTCATTTGTTTTGTTAACAAATTATCTGAAAGTCAGTGTCGCCAACTCGCTAATGCAGCGGGGTCTACAGTCTACAGTCAACAAGTCTACAATGGCTGCGTTCAGAAACATCACTCGAATGCCTTCAGATGCCTCGGGTTCATAAATTCGGATTTACAATAGGCGCACAATGGAAGAAATATTGTATTAGCTAATATTCTATAATAGCTACTCTATATGCTATAGTATACGTGTACTATATATTTCGAGTAAAATTTTCCTCGGAGAAAAAAATTTTGGAACGTAGCTTAGGAATAAATATTAAGATTTCAACCTATCAGAAACCATGTATTCCGGTGTAATTGGATTCTGATAAGTTGAAATCTTAATATTTATTTTCTATTTTTCCTAAAGCCCAAGATACAATGCGAGGGAATAGCGATAACGATAACACGATTTCAACCTATCAGAAATCGGATATATCGGAATACACAATTTCTGATAGGTTGAAATCGTGTTATTTCTATCGCTATCACTTCAAGCGACAAAGCAGTTAGGCATGCTTATCGAGCGATTGAATATGATTGGCTGGATCTATAAGTAACAACCAATTATGCTGATTTGCTCGGCGAACTGGCTAGCCGCTTTATCAACTTGAACGCGCCCATTGTGTCTTGGGTTTAATATTTGTTCTATCGTGCCGTGTGCGCAGGCCCCCCCCCCCCCCTCCTCCTCCTCCTCCACCCACATTCTCCTTCTTTTTTTCTGGCCAGGAGCCCCTCTATCCTACGCTACGCGGTTTTCGGTGCGTCGCTGCCATCTTTGTCGTCTCTCTCTCATGTATTCCCGTCCCGCGCTATCCCGTTACATGTTACATTCAGTTATAAATTACAACATCTCGTGTTTCTTGTACATACGTTTGGCGGTTACGAGTTACGTTACGGCGTGTCTGACTGAGATTTCAAGCGTTCGCAGTTCTGCTATCTGCGTGCACTTTCACGATCGTATTCAAGTCACGTGTAAGCTTTATAATGAGTACCGACAGTATTGAAAAGCTATATAGGAACTTTGGCATTCTTGCTGATGCCAAAGATAAACTGATACAAGTATGTATAATTTGTTGGTTACATCGACCGTACCGGCCACGTTCAGTTAAAAATATATATAGTTGAGATTTTGTTTCTGATGTACATATGTGCAATCGAATCGTGCTATTGTTTTATAGAGCATTGTTCGTGCAAATTGTTCCTATCGTATAAAACATCAAAATGCATTCCAAAGTGCTGAAAATATGTGTAGCGTTCTATGTGCATCTGTAGATTACAATCTATATTATCAAAATTGAATTTTTTCCTCTGTATGTATATAATTATATTCTCTCTGTAAAGAACTCAATACTATAGTAGCTCGCCGAAAACAGTTTCCGTTTACGAAGAGCCACTCACCGAATATTTTAAGTACCTATAATAGACATAGTTAAATCATCATTGTTTTTTTTAATTGATTTATAATGACTGCGTTTAGCAGAATGTTTATTTTGTAATTGTTGGAAGTTTTTTCACGCTGATAATATTACACTTTTGAGATCTGATTGATTTCAGAAACTTTACCTGGGACATCCATATGTGTTACTTTATCCTTGTTTAATATTTGCTAACATTTGGTGAACAATAAAAATACGTGGCTGCATTCGCGCGCGAGTCAAGTTTTTTAACCGAGTCTTAGATGATTAGTCCTTTCTCAGTAAAGAAAATTCCAATAGTTGTAAGATAAACTATTTGCCGAATTTGCACCCATTGATTCATATAAGTGCGCCATACTTTTGAATAATTTGTTTACTTCAGCTTTGATGTCAAACAAGAAGGGATTCGGTTTACAATATAAATTTAATCTCATACATCCATCCTTGTAAATTAATAATTAATTCTCTCACATTAACTATCTAGCTAATAATTTGCAATATTTTACATAAATGTATAGCACCCATTGATTCTTCTTATTACACAATGTATCTAACACAATCTTTAGCTACCTATTACTATACTATTACATAATTTCATCAAAATTGAAGCTGAAGAAGTTCTTTTGGAAGACCAAATTTTTTCTTATTAGTTTTAAAAATTTTTAAATGTTCAATTATATAAAAAATTGCAACACCTGAACTTAGAACAAATATAATACATATAGTACAATAAATAGCCTATATGAATAGAACAAAACTGTAAAATAACCATCCATTGATAATATAATACTTTAAAAGGCGTAATCAATTTTTTTATTGTGAATTCTGATAAATAAATGTAAATTTGTAAAAGAATAAGTAAAATCCAAATAGAATCCAACTTTTATAATAGTAAAAACTTATTGAAGCTTTCATCAAGTATATGAATTTTTTTTTAATTCTTACATAGTCCAGAACAATATAAAAATCTACAATGAAATTCAAAAACTCAGGTTGCAGACAAAGAATAAAAATTTCATATTTTCAATAGAGAGATAAGATTATGAAACATAAAATTATTCCAAATCATTATAATATTTAAAAATTAGGAAAACATCTCAGGTGTAATATTTTTCAAAGCAATCCTTGATATGAAGTCTTGCTTTTCTCGTGTCGCGGGAATATTCCGCGATTAATAATACTAAGCTAACTTTGTTTCGATTATATTAAACTGACTTACCTGTTGTCTGTTTTGAAAGAATAAAGTCACGTTGGATTTCAACCGATTATTTCCTGTAGATCAAGGGCTTCAGCTTCATCTTTTGTTTAAATTTAATTCTTTTTCAATAAATTTCTATCTTTACAGTTCTGTATCTTAATAATAATCACATTGTTATGTTCCTTAAAATTATGTACATTTAACAGTCTGCAGCTCGATAAAAAATTCTCAAAAAATTTAATATTTTTACAAGAAAGTATAATATATATTTGATAATATAAATTTATTAAGGGACTTTGTATTACTCTTGTGAGTTATCTTCAATACTGTTTATATTGTAGCATGAAAAAGAATATCTGGAAATTCTGACGGCAGTTAAAGGATCGCCTAAGGAAAAACGGCTAGCATCGCAATTCATTGCAAGATTCTTCAAACATTTCCCAAAGCTAGCAGATCAAGCTATAGACGCTCATTTAGATTTATGCGAAGATGAAGATATGGCTGTAAGTTTTCAAATAAAAGATTGAGCCGTTTTCAGTTTTGAGCATGCTTTAATGCTGAAATAATAAATTGTATATACTACACAGGGTATATACTAAGTACGCTGAAAGATTTTAAGGGATGATGCTTCACACAAATTCAATATGAACCCTGTATAATATCCTCATTTTCTTTTACAGATTCGAAAACAAGCTATTAAAGATTTACCAGCACTTTGTAAAGACAATAAAGAACATACAGCACGAATTGCAGATATCTTAGCACAATTATTACAAGCTGAGGATCCTTCAGAATTGGCAGTTGTACATAACAGTATTATGTCACTTATGAAAAGTGATCCTAAAGGTATTATTTAATAAATTGCAATAACATCTAAATAAATTCACACGTGATTTGGATTAAATTTTGCATTTGTTGTGACCAATTTATAATTTTATACTTAATTATTGGATTATAAAACAAGTTTCTATTTATAGGTACCTTAAGTGGATTTTTTAGCCAAATTATTAGTGGCGACGATGGGACGAGAGAACGTTGTATAAAATTTCTAGCTATCAAGCTCAAAGCAATAGGACATGACATTATCACGAAGGAACCGGAAGACTTGCTAATTGTAGAATGTAAAAAAGTATTGCAGGTAATTTACTATGATTTTTATATAAGCATACTAATATCGAACAATGGAACAGATTGGTTCAATGTATTAAACATGCTCTTCCATTCTTCAGTGTATGTATACATATATACTGATGCATTTTCAATCTTTCTTCAAATGTGATTTAATATTTTAATATTAAAATATTTTATAAATATTAAAATATTAAAATATTTTATTTATATTTCAATATTCTTATTCCTTTTCAGTCGCAAATAGATTCATCAAAATTTGTTTCATACATTTGTGTACAAGTTCTACCGCATTTGTCTTTGATGACTTCTCCCGATGGTAGAGATATTCAATTGGAACTGTTAAAGTTGCTTGCTGAATTAACTGTGTTTTGTGGAACTATTGAAAAACCGGAAGATAAGGTTCAACAGCTTTACAATACTCTTATTGTAAGTATTATATTTTTATTCATACATATACATATTTTGACAATATATTTTTGTGTGTATCGTAATATCCAATGTTCATATTTTGTTGATCAAAATTATCAAATTTTATCAAATATAAAAATCATTGCTTATTTATTATTCATTATTCATTTTATTTATTTTAGACTTATATGCCACTTCCTCCAGCTACAGAAATTACAGATGTACCAAAGTTACAATTTAGTCATGTGGAATGTTTAATGTATGCCTTTCATAAGTTGTGTAAACAAACTCCTGAATTTTTGATAAAGGATGCAGAACAGCTCAAAGAATTTCGATTAAGATTACAATATTTTGCAAGAGGTATTCAAGGTTATATAAAAAAATTACGTGAAGCTATTAGCGGAAAAACAGAAGAAGAACTGAAATCTGAAGAAAATCAATTAAAAGTTGTGGCATTGAAAACAACCAACAACATCAATACTTTAATCAAAGATCTGTTTCATTCACCTCCTAGCTTTAAAAGTATAATACATCTCTCGTGGAAAACACCTTGTAACGACAAAAAGGTTATTATTTTCAATATGATTATAATAAATTGTTTTGTAAATAATGATAACTATAATGTTACATTCGTGAATGCTTTGACTTGCAATACTTTGATTTTATTAATTTTGTGTATGTTTTAGAGCGATAAAAATTCTGCCCAAAAAAGACATACACCAATCACATTTGGAAATGATAATAGTCCGAACAAACGTAATAAGGAAGATAAAAACAGCAAAAGAGAAATATATACGCCTCCCAGTGGCAAATACAGTTCAACCATATCAAATTACGGTGAGTGGGCAAATGTATTGAAATTTGAAAGAAATTTTAGTTTATTATATTATCATTAATTTTACTTACCGTTTTTAGGTCGTGGTAGATTTAAAGGTAACAGACCTAGAGGAAGAGGTGGATTCAGAACGAGAGGTCGTGGCTCATGGCGAAAGAATTTTTATTAACTATAAAATTCCTTACAACTGGAAACAGCTAAAATTAGAGTAACAATATTAAGCGCCTATTTGCTTTCTGATCGACAAAGCGCGCTTTCCAAGAAGTTATCACAAAATTAATTTTGTCAATCTTTATCGCTATAACAGAAGTGATAGTTTGAAGACTTCGATAAATTTCCAGAACAGAAATCAGAAAATCAATAATTTCCCAAGCATTATGATACGGGAAGAAGATTTGGAGAATGCAATTGTAGCATTATATGAATATTTTTGTTTAATTATTGTAATACGAGTTGCAATGAAAATCCAAAATATTTCAGACATTTATTATTATATAAAATTATGGAGAGAACGAATATACGCAAATAACGTAGGGAATGGAAAGTTATTTTTAAAAATAACAAGTTACAGTTACTCGTTACCGGGTCAAAACAATTATCGTTATTAGTTACTGATTTTTAAAAGTAACTCGTTACAATATTGTCGTTACTTAAAAAGTAACTATTCGTTACTTCGTTATTTTCTTAAAATCATTCTAAAATAAATTCTAAGATACAACTAATGTAAACAAAGTACTTCTGTAATATATATTTTGTTTAAATGTTGATAAAAGCAACATACAATGACACTAGCTTTATTTTTTAATTTTTTCTTAAAAATAATTTCGTAATTCTGAAATATGTAAATGCGGCAAAGTGAGATATCTGCCCGACATATCGGGTAAAAATGTAAAATAATTCCTGAAATAATGGTATATTTCTCAACTATCAAAAATCGCTGCAGGTGTGGAGGAGTGCTGCAGTTGATAACCAAGTATTTCAGGAATTACTTTATATTTCTATATGATATCGGACAGATATTTCAGTTTGTCACATATTTTATAATTTTCAAGAAATTGTGTTTAAGTAAAAACTAAAAAAATGAAGCTTAACGTAATAATTTATTGTATGTAATATCCTCTTATATCGTCACGAGAGAGTAAAGTCTTAATATTTTAGTGAATACAATACGTATATCCAATTGTGCAATCAGCACACACACACATACACTAATTAAATTTTCAATCTTAAAACGCTATTCGACTGATATTTTTCACAATAAATTTTTCATAGTGCTTGAAGATGCTTATTTACGTAAATATATCATTAATTACTTGTAAATTTAATTTGTCATTACTATTCTAGTTTTAATTAGGAATTGCATTTGTTTTCAAGACAAAATATTTATTTGGCGCGCAGTTTAGAGAATTTGATTTATATACAAATTCATTCTAACATATTATGCACAAAGATCAAGCTCAGATCAATATTTTTCTTTTTAAAGCGATAAGTTATTAAATTTAATAATAAATAAATATTTACTATAAAGGTATTAACATCCTAAGATATTAAAACGATCTTAAAATCATAATAAATTATTAATACTATCTAAAGAACTGAAAATTGAGTAAACGAAAATTATATCATAATTATATATTGAGTTCAAAATACAAAAAGTAACGATAAAAGTAATTGTAAAATTCGTTACCGTTATCAAAAAAAAAAAATGTAACTACGTTATTGTTACAGTTATCAAAAAAGAATAGTAACGTAATTACTAATAAGTTATCAAAAAAAGTAACTTGTAACTGTAACTCGTTACAAGTAACGAGTTACTTCCATTCCCTGAACATACAGCATATGAATATATTAAGCAAGTCAAGAAAAAATATTAATTGATTGGCGAATTTCATGAAGAAACTATATATGAAGAAAAAAGAAGGAAGGAAAAAGATATTTCTCGTGGACACAAAATCAAAATGATATTATTTAAAGAAATTGAAGAAAGTTCGACAAAGGTACATACACAAAAATGAAAATGCCACGTTATCAAATTCAAATTTAAAACCACGCAATTGAGATACGGGACATGAATACACCGATCACGGTTATGGAAATAGAAATAGTTCCTTCCTTGTAAAAAAATTTTAAGATTACAAAAATATAATCTCCTTTAGTCATTCCTAAATTAGCTTCCTCCCCTCCCTTTCCAAACCTTTATATTTATTGATATTTGTTAATATTTATCTGTTGACAGGATCGAACTGTGTATAACAGAGAATTCGAAATCAGCCATGCATAACAGCTATTTTATCGAAGAAACACTAGATAAATAATTTTCTATCGATAAGAGAAATATTGTGTATACGTGCGTACAATAAATGACATTATTTGTTAAACTTTATGTATACTTATGCAAATGAAATAGATTTCAAATTATATATATATATATATATATACATATATATGAAATTTGAGATTCTTCTGTTTTAATTTGCACAAGTATGTAAAAAGTTAACAAATACACATATCGCGCTTCTTCAAATTTTTACAATATCTATATATTATTTAAGATTATATAATCTTTAAATTACGTATTTTTAACATAAGATATATATTCGATTGTGGGAAGAATGACTCATAATTCTGTGTTTTTTCGATAAATGAGATGAAGAGCAATGAAGAAGCAACTATTATACTGTTTTTCTTTTGCAGGAAGCATATATTAACGAAAAATTGGGAAATTGGGAGGACCTGTACCTCGGCGTATATAAATATTTTATATATATATATATATATACACAACTTTTTTCCATTACAGAAATCTTTCAGAAATGAATGCAGAAGCAGAGGCTACTTGGAAAAACTAATTAATATTTTCCTTCCAGGAGTTGCGGTGGATATATGTTTATTATTATATGTATATATGAAATATATCTCTCCTTCTCTCATGTGATTGTGCTGTGAGGTGAGTTTAAAAGATATTGTTCCATCTCTTTCCTTTCCCTTTATCCATCATTATCACGTAGAAAAACATGTGTTATCTATACAAAATTTGTGAATGTGTTTTTGATTATTTCAATAAATAACATTATTTAATACTATGTGATGTTCTTTTACCTAATAAATACAGGAAATGAGAAAATGATAAAAAAAAAGTGATCGATTTAATAAGATGAATTAATTGATTCTAAGACAGGTAAGTAAATTATTTAATAAACAATGACAATAAAACGTTGACCGAAAAAACAAGGATGTAAACAATAATATATTTCGAATTTGCATAATCGATTTACATTTCGACTTTAGACTTTTTTTTTAAATCTATCTCGAAACAAGTCCAACTTATGTGTTACTACAGAGAATAAAGCGCCATATACATTAAAAAATGCCAGAGAATAATGTAACAAAGGACCAAACCAATCGAGATAAAATTTTCCATAATTGACAAAAAATAAAATACTTTTTAATACGATATTAACAGTTTTTGTAAGTTTTTCCTACAGTTTTTATTCATTTGCATTTCATATTTCATTATTTGATTTGTTTAGATTTCATCTTGATTGAAATGATATTTGGACATCTAACTGATTATTGCCAGAAGAAGATAAATCTAGTATTAAAAAATGTTTTATTTTTTTACGACCAAATTTTTAAAATTTCTTTACGTTAAGAAAGATTAAAGTATTGATCAAGATCACTGTATTTATTGAGAATTATGGAAGATTTGTCTCGACTGATTTGGTTTTTTGTTACATTTATATATATATATATATATATATATATATATATGACAACAATTTATTCTCTGTAGTAACATATACGTTGGATTTGTTTCTCTCGAGGTAGATTTCAAAAAAGTAAAGTCTCTGTAAAGTCGAAACGTAAATCGATTATGTAAATTCGAAATAAATTGTTATTCTGTGTTTTCTACATCCTTGTTTTTGCTCGTTTAGTTATTTTTTAAATTCGGTTTTTTTTTAATTATAAATTATATTTACGTATGTATATGCATTTTGTATCTAATCTGCCCTACATTTAAATGTATCTAGAAATTAATGTCTATACATGTAGCCACATAGTCTGTGTATGTATGAACCAGTACATTTATAAAGCGTTAACTACATTTGTACAATCACATGTAATCTGTCTTATTAAGTTTAAAATACACGCGAATGATATCTGAGTTATACATACATAAAATTTTGTCAAACTTATGTATTACTAAAGTATAAAAAAGTTAAGTGTAAGCTTTTAAAATAAAATCTTTCTATTTGGAGAGTAGTTTTTGTAGATGAATATATAAGCACAATATGTAAAATATGTTTTAGACACATTACCAGCAGTCCTTTATCTAAAGAACATATTTTTTTAAATATTGTCATTTTATTAAATAACTAATAACATTTTCAAAAGCACATCATTATATTACTGTTGTGTATTATGTACAATTATTTCAGAATATTCCTTGATAGATTAATTTGCACATTGGAGAATAAAGAGCGATACCTTAAAACAGTCCATTCGAGGAAAGCATATCATCTATCACTTTGCACATAATACGATCACTTGAACTACAAGGATCCTGCGTTTGTTGTTCGAAGCCTAAATTGTCTACGGATTCCATAGCATCTGTGTTTATCGCAAGCTTGGAGTCCAATTCTGATGTATCGGGAAGCATCTGTAAGGCATGCTGCAATATTTCTTGAACCTGGAACAATTTTAACATTAGCTACAATCGTGAAAATTATACGTGAACATTACTATAAAGGTTGAAAAGAAAATCCAATGTGAATAAGAATCAAGATATATACCTTTTCGAGGTGTTTCTGGAAACGCAATGCTGTTTCATGACGTTGTCTACGCTGTAATTCCATCATAACTCGCAACGTTTCCCTGGCTTGATGCGGTCGAAATTCATTTAGCAGGTGATGAATGTGAATGAATAATAGACTAAGATCCTCGACCTGTAAAAACGTCAGCTGTTTCATCACAGAATATAAAGGCCATAGAACATAATCTTAAGATTTAAGGCTACGGTACATGAAAAAAAATATATATATAGTAAGTGAACATTTTGAATTTGCTATTGCTTATGTTACTGCTTCCACTTTAATTAATCGATATTACTTACATATTGCTCTTATATTTTTCTATGAGCTATGGCTTTTACTGCTTAAGGAAATTTATGTGCAGAAACTCTAACATGAGATACTAGTGTCTTTAGACTTAATATTTAAATAGAGATACAAATTATAAAAAAGTAAAAACTTTGAATAAAAAACACAGTAAAAAATTTTTATTTAGATATATATTTACTTTGAACATTTGACGCTATATTATTAATTGTTCTAGAATTCAATTTTTGCATTCATCAAAAAATTTCTGTCTAAAAATACTTAGCTGTAAATTAGAATATAGTACAAAGTCTGTTTCCATCAATGACAGTTTAATTTCAATTCAACTCTTCATTTTTTTCTAGTTTTCTAATAAGAATTAGAAAAAGGTGAAGAGTAAGTAAGTAGAACAGAGATAAAATTTAATTGGTAGAAACTGACATAAGTGGTAGTCATGGATATACTCGGATTCAGTTTCGTTGATCAATTCATTAAGTACTAAATCAATGCAAGGATGTTTCCTCTTTAAAAATAATATCGAAACAAATATTAAACAGTTTAAAAATAAATAAATTTTATGTCTTTTTTTCAAGATTTTGATTAAAACAAAAGTTTTACTTAAAGTAAAAAAAAATAAGCTATCTTTTTTATCTCTATGGATACAACCAATGCGATGGTGCAAACGCTTTGAAGCGTTTTTTAACAGTTTGTAAAATTCTTCTAATTGGTTCATCAAACGCTTCAAAGCATTTGTAGCGAGACTTTGACTATAGTCTATATTTAAATGAAAACAACAGGGATTTGTGTTTTTTTTTTTTCAAATTAGAAATACAGCCTACTTTCTCCGCGCGTCTTGGACTGTCGGGGCACTGAACAAGAAGATCTATCAGATCGAGGAAATTGACGAGCAATGAGTGATTGAGCTTCTTCAACTCGCGTCGACGATCAAAGTGTTGCGGGTATAACCTCTTGATGCCCTGGGCCTCGAGCGGCCTAATGATAGTGTCATCGGCGTTGAACATGTTGCTAAACATGGAGTAGGTGTCATGGATCGGCGGCGGCGGTCGCGGGGCTCGTCCACGCCGTACATTCTCATCCGTATAGAGATTGATGTATTGAACGGGCGGCAACGGCAGGGAGCTAACCTGGATTGCTTCGGGAGCCGCCATTCTCGATTCACACTTCGATACCGGCGGATGAGGTCGACGAGCGGAAGGACAGGTTACCTGAGAATCCTTTCTCAATTTCCTTGAGCGGAGATCGCCGCTCCTGTACTGTCCTGTAGTCGCTCGTAGTATCGTGTAAATCGTGTTACGCCTGTCAAGATCTCCCACAGCGTCAAAGCGAAACAAGCCAAACAAGGCGATCTCGATTCTAATTGCGTCACTTCAGTCGACACTGTCGATAGTCACTTGTTTGACAGTCCTCTGGTCGGCCATTTTGCATGGTGCTGCACTGTACTGTACTACTGCCGCTACTAAGTGCTAAGCGGGTGCAGTGCTACGCGGGTCGACAAGTGTTTCTTCCTCGCAAGGATGGAAGATCCATTCTTCTCTCTCCGATATCCATTGATATTCACAGGACGCTCTCCCTCTCAAGTCTCAAGCCCATGTTGAATCTGACGTCGACCCGGTCGGCCGTGTTGACACTGTTGACTGGCGTTGACCAGCGTGGTAAGACATTTCCTGATACCTATCAGCCGCGCCGCGCCGAGGCCGAGGCCGAGCGCCGCGCCGCGTCGCGATTGCCGCGAGACGTCTCCGTTTTGACAGATTGTGTGCGTTCCACGTGAACTCTTTGTTTGGACGCCGGGAATGCCGGAATGATCGCGAGGTGGTAACCGCACCGGCCAGGCAGCCAGGCCACACGTTCGTCGCGTAGTAAGAGGCGCGATCCGGAGAATTCGAATTCAATCGTGATCGAGTATCGCGATAAGTATCGCTTTTGGGAGCGTCCGTGTCGTTCAGGTCGTTCAGGTCGTTCTCTCGACTGCGCCTCGTGAGTCTCGTTGAATCTCGTTGAATCTCGTCGCCTCTCGTCGCTTCTCGTCGCCTCTCGTCGCCTCCCATCGCCTCCCGTCGCCTCCGCCTGGATCCCGTAGCCCGTTCTCGACGATGCCCAATAATCGTTGGTTATAATCGCTACCAGATACCAGACCAGACACGTGAGCGCCTCTGAGCGCCGCATCACTCCTTCGCATTCGTATGGGGGCGGGGGTTATGGGACGAGGAAAAAGGTGCTATATTTAGATATTTCTTTCGTCTCCTTTACTTATCTCAAGCAGACCGGATAAGCCGGATGGGAGAAACCTCGAATGTAATTTTTTTTTTTCGTGTCTAATTAGGATGTGTTGTGCAACAAGTATCAATTGTAGCCTCTCGTGCGATGGAATATCGACGCCTCTCGACGATGGGGCTCCATTCTCGTACAGGAAAAATGATACTTTCATTATTGTTGCTAGGGAGGCCCTCCTGTGATGGCAGGGAAAGATGGGAAGCTAGAGTCAAAAGGTGGAGACGTTATTCGGCAGGGATTCATGATAAAACGTTCGCAGAACAAGAAGCGCTTTACCCCAGTCAATTACAAGCAACGATGGTTTATTCTGACCAAACATTATCTCATCTACTACGACGGAGATGGTGAGGTGAGTAATTTGAATATATCAAAATGTTTTACCTTCTATAATATTACGATCATGTTTCAACCTGTGGCCGCGCTAGAAATTATATTTTCTACTTTTGATTCTATTTTAATTGTGTAAACAAAATAAACATTACACCTATGGTCTGCAAGATTTCCCCTATTTATCAAAGTTGTTAATTTATGCTAATTTGTGTTAATAAAATGTACATTTATCGAGCACAGTTGGGAGACGTTTTAATTAAGTTCATTAATTTTGTCAGTGAGTTTAATAATATTTTATTAAAAAGAATTTATAAATCGTTCGACAAACATTCATTTATAAATTGTTTACAAACATTCATTGAATATAAAATATTCGATTACAATATTGCGTCACTACGTTCATGATGGATGAGCACGCACAATTCCAGGAAGCATCAGAAACATTACTCATCTTCTTTCTTACATTTGCACAAAATTCATACACGTACATAGAAAATTATAATAATTTTTTTATTACAGAATTTTAAGTTTCAAAAAAAGTTAGATTACAAACCTTATAATTTTGTGATTAATACATAATCATAACTTTAATTAGTTATTAAGCTAGTTGGGTAATTATTCGATAACAATTCGGCGATTGTAACACGCTCGATTTTTTGTTTTTATCCAAGAGACAATTAGATAAGAACTCATTCATGCGTCGTCTACAGTAAACAGTAAGAAGTAAGAGTAAGAAATTGACCAACCACGGTTATTCTCACATTCGACTGTGATTGGTCAATTTCTTACTTCTCTTCCTCCGTGCATTATAGACTGTAGACGACGCATCAGAGGTTGAGCAGGTTGAGCTGTTTGAACGACGAGCAGGATGGAGGTGATCGGCTCGGTAACCGCGTGCGTTCGTGACTAGCACCAATAGCTATCTCCGTCTCCGTCATCCGTATTGAGCGAGGTAGTAGGGGTGGTGATGATTTCAGTAGGAGATGGCGGATAACATGCACCTATATCGTATACCTATAAAATTAGTGGCGCAGGCGCCCCACGTGAATTTTCCATCCTATCTCTCCTTCCGCTTCTTCGTCGTTGATGCTGCTCAGTCAGTGGCCGTCGTTCGAGGTCGGTCTCGACGACGCACGATCCTTAGATTACGTTTGGTATCGTTCCACACAAGTTGACGATTCCTCGGACGAGTCTATAACGTTTTAATTTCTGATATCTCTCTCTTTCTCTCCCTCCCTGCTTTTCTCTCTCTCTTTCTCTCTCTTGTATGACGAACAAAATAGAGAGATACACGCGGACGTATTTCAGTCCTTCTGGTGAATCTTGTCCTATCTGATTCGCGAGTAGGGTTCCACAATATATACCTGTCGGAATCCTTCACGACACTCTTTGTAGAGACCCTGCTGCTCAGCTGTGATCTCAATTATCTTTTCACATCGCTCCGAGAGATCGCTCGTCTCTTACGCATCGTCCGTCTCGGACGTTGTGGCCAACCTTGGCGTAGTGATCCACGTGCGGATCCTACTGACTTGGTCATCCTGTTCACCACGTCACGAGCTCTATCATACAACGTGGAGGTAAAGAAATTCGAATAACTTTCTTTTCGTTCCGTTCTTTTTATTTAATTGATTAGACTCCGTCGTCGGATGAACAATTTATGTTGCAAGAACCTCTATGAATTCCGCTAGAAATGTTTCCGGGGAAAGTCGCTGGATGCCGTTTGCAAATTACTTTTTCGCGTTTAAAGTATAGATGTACCATACCAATATTCCAATGATAGACCTATTTATATGCTACGAATATCTTATTACAATTTAGTTTTGTCAGTAAAAATCAACATCCATGTGCTAAATACATCCCTCGTCAACGAGTATCTCCAAATCATTCCGACACATCCAAGATTTCTAATTCTGATAATACTATCATTATGCAATTTATATTGTCCTTGACCTTCTCTCTCTCTCCCTCCCTCCCTTCCTTTCTCCCAGCTCTGGTATCAAAGTTGTTGGTCAGCGGTAACCGATTTGATTTTGAATGAATCGACTATTAATGCTAATCAGATGAGAAATTATTGCAGCGCCGCAAGGAACGCGGACGGATCGCTGTGGAGAACGTCCACGTGGTGGAGACGGCCAGCCTCGGGAATGGTGGAAGTGCTGTCAGTGATGTGGCGGGCGGCGGCGGCGGCGGCGGCGGCGACGCCGCCGGCGGAGGCGGCGGAATACCATCCGGACTGCCTTTCCAGGTGGGATATCGGGAAGCTGGTCAAGAGTACACACTCTACCTCCTCGCCGCTCGCGAACAGGATCGCGCCGAATGGATACGCGCTATACGCGCTGGTAAGTCTCCCTCTTCCTTTACATCTTTCTTTCCCTCCTGTAACTAGAATGACGGTAGAATGAGTCTTTCGGTGTCCAATTTTTATCGCAAATAAAAGAAAAAGTATTAAAAGAAATTTTTTGTACATTTAAATATAAAAAATATGTATGTTTGTAGATGACGATTTTTTGTCGCTGAAAACAAATCCATAAATAAAATTGCTTATTCTATTGCTTATTCTATCACGTCAAGTTTTTGAGAAAATTGATACTAAAGATACCAAAAACAACATTTTTGAATTTTTTTTTGACTGAAATACCTGAAAAACAACGTGATATAAGACTCTAAATCCATAATTGATGTTGTACATGCGACATGCATGATTAAAGTTTTTTTTTAAATATTACGAATTGTGCAATAAAATTGCAGTAAAATTCGGATCGACGTCTATTAAATCAATTCCGAGAGTAAAATTCGAAGTCATATCATAATTTGTCATTTAAAGCGCAATATGTTATGCTTAAAAACAATTTGCAAATGATTACTTATTTGTAGTGTGCAGTGAGAATTCGGGCTTGAGCGGGCGTTATCACGCGGGCCTATGGAGCGGAAAACGTTGGTCCTGCTGCCGATTATCAACACGCTCCGCCGAAGGTTGCGACACTTGCAGCTCCTGGTCCTCGAAGCCAACTACGAACGCTACAAATCCGTCCTCGACGACAATGTCAGCCTCGACAACATCGACAACGTCCGTGCCCGGCAGCAATATCATTAACAATACCATTTCAACGACTATCATCACGTCCGATCATCGTTCACAATCCAACGCCGAAGCGAATAACAATCCAATCATCCAATCGCAGACCCGCTCAACTATCGGTTCGTATTTTACATTTATTACATTTTTACACGCCTTCATATTATATTATCCTCGTCTTTAGTAAAACCGTAATTGGCGAATCGATGCGCTTCTTTTTGTTTCAAGAGAGTCTTGGGAGTAATGTCATTTAATAATGGATTATTCGTCGGATTTAATTGTCGGATAAAAAATCGATCCGGAAAAACTTTATTTATTTACTTGCATCGACATTTTTTATGCCGATACGTCGTTCGTTTTGTTACGATACGCTTGCCAAAATTTGCCAATTTGGCGCCACGTAAATTTTATGCAATCATCGAACGAGCTAATTACGACCTAATTGGATATACAAATTGCTGGCGATGTATATACGAAGCCTCGGGTTATCGCGAAAGAAATATTTTATCCGAGCGCGTATTGAAATAACGCATAAAGCGAACAGGTGGTGCAATATGTAAACAGCAATATGTAATTAACTGTTAGCAGCTTTAAATATTTAATATGCGTAATAACGAATCTATTTTGTTTCAAGATTGACCTTGTTTATTGGCATGCTGTAAACTTGTTCTATTGTAATTATACGAGAATTATCCACATTGTAGATTAAGCAATGGATTCCCCTTTGAATTAAGAAAATCTTATTTCCCTCGTACGCTAGTACGAGTGACTAGTACGTATAAGAATAATAGAAAAGAATTGTTTCCAAGCGAGTGATTTTCTGGATTTCTTATATCTTCAAGCCTAACGGCTTGGAACGGCTCATATGTATGACTTGAAAAAGCTTATACATTTCTAAAGGCGGAAAACCCTAAACATCCTCTAAGAGTAGGAAATACAGCATAAATTTTTGCATCACTCTCATGAAATTTTTATTATTTTTTAACGAAAGAAGATAAGAGACTGCATTTTTAATAACTACGGAGAGTAATGTCATTGAATAAGGAAATTTATTCTTACTCATTTCGAGTGATTTTGTCCTAAAAAATAATCATAATTAATAAGTTGACGTGCACTCATGTAGATATATTACGTAGGTATATGTGCGCGTTTTTGTTTATGGAGCTTTCGTCGATCTCTCTTCGAGGATTAGACGAAAAACAATGAAACGGAGTTTTGCTGTAAACAGAACAATATTCTGCCGAAAACTTTTCTCTTAGACAACGTGACATTTTTCTGTATCGTTGAAACATCCTGACTTTTTGCGAATCACATCGCCGTAAAATTGTCTCGGTCAAGTGTCATTCTTTCCCAATAATTCAGCGAACGCTCCAGTTCCTTTATCGCTCGAGGCAAGACAGTCCTCCGATTTTGCTAATAATGCTCCTGATATCGCGTATCGATAATTGAAATTTCGCATCATCGCGATTTCGCGTAATGAACGTATTTCCATCTGACGGAAAATGGAATTCGAGACGGGAGAAAGAAATCTTCCGAACTCCTTTCCCAACGTGGATTAATCTGATTATAAAGCTCATTACTCGGATCCGGGACACTTGAGGAAATGGAGTTGTCATCGATGCGTTGAGATATATGATGGTCTCAGAGAAAGAGAGAGAAAAATATGTACGTTAGAGCACACTGCACGAGTGTCGTACTTTACGTAACTCTTATTCGCAAACCTAAAAGCATGACATTTTTGCTCTGCAGGAGCAAATGACGTAGATGACAGTTTTTACGAAGGAAAACTTATTATTAGATAGCCTTTCATTAAGGATCGATACGTGAGCGATCGCGTAAAATACAGCTGCCTACATATCTCTCTGTCATACGAATTGTCTGTATATAATTCGCGAATATTAACGAGTTTCAAGAGATATTAGATGGCTCTCGAATGATATAGGTTTTACAGCAGCTTTTTTCCTTCTTCGAGGTTTATCTTTCTCGAGTATGTCAGTTCATTATCCATTTGCGTTAAAGTTTAGAGCGAATTAATATATATTGACGGCGAATCGCGCGAGGAACTTTCGATCGTCTTCAAAGACTCGAACCAAGTCGACCTACTTAACGGCAAATTAAATTTCAGACATTTTAATTGCAAATTCGAGTATTGAAATGCGCTTAATACTATCAGGGCACTGCGTGTATAACGAAAATATAAATTTAATCTCGATTGATCAAATTTATTCCCACGACGCCCGGATTAAATTTATTCTCGAAACATCGGGCGCCGGCAAATTAATCCAATTAATTTATTTTATTAAAGAAACATGGCGTTTTCACTCGCACGCCTTTCGGCAAATTTCATCATATTATTCTTCATCGTTCTTTTTTCCATCTTTCTCGATAGTTGAACCTTAATGATGTTACGTAACGATCACTATTCAGTTAACAATTATCTCAATTAATCGCTCAAGGCGTTTCTCAATAAATTGCCTGAAATCAAGTTTTAGCATTGTACAATATTTTATTTAAATCGCGATCATTCCGTCTATTTAGTTTACAGAATCGGCGATTTGCAAGAAGTTATCGCATTTATCCAAATTGACATTCGCGAGGCGACGTAGCACCGGCCTCCGCGTTGTTTCCACGGCAGATAGGCCTTGCATTTATGTATGCAATATTCAATATCCTCGGTGCTTCTGGCGCAATCTCGAGACGCGACTCAAGATTCAATGTAGCACAAATCTAGCACAACTTGGCACAGTTTTTTTTTTTACACAAAAGAACGGCTAATTTCATACACACATAAATTCACGCACATGGACTCACGTTTTAATTTATAATACGCGCGGAAACTTATTAATAATCTGGCGGTGCCGTTATCGAAAATTTTATGAATCTGAAGCGAATGATATAACGATCGCATATATACGTGAATTTCAAAGCGGCATTTAGATTTAGCAAGTAGATTTGCCTCGGATTCACAATGTTTCTACGTTTTATCCACTGGTTAGTCTTTTTATCCTTTATGACAGGTATCGATAAAAGACCCTTTAATAAGAGTCTATACATGAAACAACCACTTTTGATTGATGAGAGGGGGGAGGGAAATAGAGAAAGTATGTCCTTCTCTCTCACATGGTTTTGTTAAAATTAGAGCATACAAAATACGACTAACGTATCTAATTAAGAAGTCTGTATAAGGGCCAATATTCATAGTTAGTTCTTATTTAAGACGGTCTTATATATCATATAGTCTTAATATGTCATAGTATTAGCATTTTAAGACATTACTTGAGGTGGTCTTAAAATAAGAATGGACTCTCTCTCTCTCTCTCTCTCTCTCACACAAGCTTCTCTTTAGCCCGTCGACGCGCGGGACACTTCATCTTTCATCCTTCGAATCCTGCCGCTTTAATTTGCTCGCCACGATATCAGACGTGACACGACTCCATTATATGAACGTCGAGTAGGTCGAGCACGCAATTAACAAGTTTACTTGAGAATGGTGCGCAACGAGAAACTACAGTTAGCAAATGAATGCAGTCGAGAGTTAAATCTTAACTACTTCTGACGTTGCAATACGGGGGCGCGTCGTGAAATGCAGCCGGCCTTTTTTTCTCGAGCATCCTTGACTCGTCGTCGAGTATACATCATGCGACCACAGTAAGCCTCGCGCCCATTTTCTTTCTTTCTTCTATCTTTTCCATTTTCTATCTTTCCGCGATGTGAGATTTTCTTTACACCGAGACGGTCTTGCGGATCGCTCGTATTCGAGACTAGCAGTATTCAGAGTAGCAGTCGACGCTGCTAATTGACTCCTTCGTCAAATGTCGATTGAATCGGTTCGCTTCTTTGCAATTGATTATTTTTATGTCAAAGCGATACTTTTAGCTGTTTCCATTTTGCATCTTTCCAAAACGATCTATTCTCATGGCTGGTTATCAGAATGTTGAAAAAAAAAAGACTGTTGTACCAAATTATATAAAACCCAAGTGGTATTATCTTTATTGTATCAAATAAAAAATAAACTCTGAATGGTATTATTTTTATTATTTATTTAACTCTAATGACATATATCATTTGTTTAAAAAATTTCGTATCAACAACTGGTATCAAGTTAAACTCTATTAAATTAAAAATTAAAACCCAAGTGGTACTGTTCTTATTATTTACTTAACTAAGTAAATAATTAAGTTTATCTTTATCTTTATGAGACTAGGAAGAAATTGCTATCAAGCTATGTATATGTGCCACTAGGCACGAAAGGACCTAGTCCTAAGTCGTCGATTTCATGCTAATAGCATCTAGAATTCATAAAGAATTTGGTAATATATCGCAATAATCAATATGTATAGAGAAAGTATACATTGAAAAAGAGCGTGTATAAATGCAATAATATTAAGATTAGAACACAAAACATCGCCCTGAAAAGATCTTTATTTTCCCTGCCCGCGATTGCGATAAAAAAAAAGTGTTCGCTTTAATTCAGGAACAATTTTTTTTTATCGAGTTACGAAAAAGAGATAAATATTTAATTTCTCCAACCAAAATCATTACTTCTCACTGTACAAAATTCTTTATTTATATAATATTCTTGATATTAATTTCGCGATAGAGAATTTTCTGCCTTCCTGCGAAAATTCAGCGCTTCCTGCGTAATTATAAAGTCTCTGGATATATCAAGCGATATTACGAATATTAGTTTCCGGGCTGGTACGGGTAGGAACAACGTCCACGTAACGCATCGCTCGTCACAGTGCGTGTCGAAGAGTCGTCATCGTCAGCGGCATTAATCGGCGGCGAGGGAAGACTTCCGTGAAGGTGAAACTCTGAGGAAGGGGACTCTGAGCGAGGAGACGACGACGATGATGACGGCAACGCAGCCACAGCTACGAGCACGAGCACGACTCCGACTCCGACTCCGACTCCGAGTCCAACTCCAACTCCCTTTCGCGTTGTTGCTCGCGCGCGCTTAGACATTCTCCGAGCCGAGCCGAGCCGAGCCCAGTCCAGTCCAGTCCAGTCCAGTCCGCGTCGAGCCGCTTCCACGATCGCTTCCGCGCCTTTACGAGGTCGTTACTCGCCAAGTGTTGCGGTGCGGTGCGGTGCGGTGCGGTGCGGTGCGGTGCGGAGAGTG